CCCTAGTGTCAGATTGTAACAACTGCAAACAGAAAGAACTTGCAAATAGAACTCCCAGGTCATGTGACTTCCTCACCTGGAAGAGTTTCACCCAGTGTCAGGTCTCTGTTGGTGGCTGTTGGGTGATGTCTGGTCTGCCTTGCAAGTGAGATTCCTCTATCATGCCTGAAAGGCCATGGCCCTTCACTGTTAGGATTCCTGATTCCCAAATTCGGGTGATTCCTGAGGCTTGGAGTCAAGGTCAGCCACTCTGAGACTTCCTTCAGAGCTGCTGCTGCCCTGTGGACCCTTCTTAGGGCAGACAATTGCCCGAGCTTTGAGAAAAAATGATCCTCGGAGCCACGTACATGGAGGGCCATTTGCAAAAGTAACATAAGATACAGTGACAGCCCAACACCTTCTTCTCCCTGGCTCAGGGGACTCATAGAGGACACTCAAGTCAGCATTTGGGATTTACAGAGACACACACTGCGGGTGGAGGATGGGAGGGAGGGGAGTCTCTTAGCCATTTGCATTTCGCTGTCACAGCTATTCTGATTCTTGACTAACTCTCCAGGGACATTTGTGTGGGGCACCGCCCTGCCTCTATGCAAAGGCTCTCTCTTCGCTGCTAATCATGGTTGGGTTTGCTTACAGCCCTTCTTGAGGGATTGCTGTTCCCTGAGCTAGGAGTCCCTCTAGCTGTGACACAAATCCACCTCGCTATTCTCCATCACACCCCACAAGGCTTAGGGCCCCAGGGACTGCTGAGCATGCAGGGTTCAGGCCACCTTTAGCTGTGTGGTCTCTTCCCGGGAGTGAGGGGCATTGTGGGACTTTGTTAGCATCCTCAGGACTGGCAGGCTCATTGGTGGGCCTGCAAGTGAGGCAGAGAAACTGCAGGTCTTCACTCCTGATTTCTCCAACCAAGAAAACAGAGGCCGGGGATGGGGGGTCAGATCCACACTCGATGGGACTGAGCTTGTGGGATGGGGCTGCCCCTATCGACATCAAATCCCTGGAACCCATTTGTATGGCAAGTTGGGAGACATGCACACTCACTGGCACACCTGTATGTACACGCACACTCACTGGCACACCTGACTATACACGCACACTCACTTGCACACCTGTATGTACACGCACACTCACTGGCACACCTGTATGTACACGCACACTCACTGGCACACCTGACTATACACGCACACTCACTTGCACACCTGTATGTACACGCACACTCACTTGCACACCTGTATATACACGCACACTCACTGGCACACCTGACTGTACATGCACACACACTGGCACACCTGACTGTACATGCACACACACTGGCACACCTGACTGTACATGCACACTCACTGGCACACCTGACTGTACATGCACACTCACTTGCACACCTGACTGTACATGCACACTCACTGGCACACCTGACTATACATGCACACTCACTGGCACACCTGACTGTACATGCACACTCACTTGCACACCTGACTGTACATGCACACTCACTTGCACACCTGACTGTACACGCACACACTTGCACACCTGTATGTACACGCACACTCACTTGCACACCTGTATGTACATGCACACACTTGCACACCTGTATGTACATGCACACTCACTGGCACACCTGTATGTACATGCACACACTTGCACACCTGTATGTACATGCACACTCACTGGCACACCTGTATGTGCACACACTCACTGGCACACCTGACTGTACATGCACACTCACTTGCACACCTGTATGTACATGCACACTCACTGGCACACCTGTATGTGCACACACTCACTGGCACACCTGACTGTACATGCACACTCACTTGCACACCTGTATGTACATGCACACTCACTTGCATTTGTACAAATATGTCCCCAACTCATACTTTACACATTCATACAAACATGGTATACATAATGCTCCCATGTGTGCCCACAGACATGCATGTGTATACATTTTATGCATAAACACCCCCCCACACACACACAGACATGCACGCACGGCTCTGAAAGCAGAGGGGATGGTATTCTGACCTATTTTCCCATGAGGTGTACATATACTCATGTGCATTACACATATGAACGCACACAGACACAGACACATCAGGCTCTCAGGTGAATAGACTTCCCAATGCAGGTGCACACACATAAGTCTGCAAGACTCTTGAGGAGAAAGGATAGGGTGCTGCTGCACCTCCTCCCTCCCGTTGGGCTGGATGGCAGCAGGGGTTGATTCATAGTGACCTGGGAGAGATAGGGAACAAGGTGGGGTGGCTCCGTCAACTGTTGTTAGCAGCGACGTAGAAAGTGCAAAGGCTCCCGTTATTCCAGGAAAGTATTACACTTCATAAAATCCATGTTTATTCAAAAAAAAAAAATCCTCATGGGAAAGTCTGGAAAGCATAATAAATATCTGTACAGTGGCCGCCCGTCTCAAACACAGACAGGAAGTGTGAACGTGGTGTGAACACGGAGTGAACTGTAAACATAACGGCTGAGCATGTGAATGGAGGTGCAAGGCGGGGAGGAGGGCAGGGTGGTCAGGTGTTGTGTGTCACCTGCACGGATGAGCCACGCTGGCTTTCCCTGCCACACAGGGACCACAGAGTCCTTTTCCGCTCCAGGTGTCTCACGATCTTACAGGCGGTAAAGGGCGGCGAAAACACGCCAGAGAGAATTGAAGGGTCGTGCGGCAGATTTTCTTCTGTGCTTGAGAAAATCAGTCCAACGCAGGGAAAATCCCGAAGGGCGTCTTGGGGAACAACACCATTTATAAACAATACTGCCAACATTAGATAGCACAAGATACTATCCTCTTAAAGAGCCAGAGTACCCCCACATCAGGGCATACAGATATTTTAAAAATCACAGGTTCTGATTGTGGGACAGCGGATGCTCACGGCTTATCCACCATTGACTTTGGGTAGAATCTGATAAGGCCCCCGCCCCCCCCCCCCGTCCCCTTCACTGGGATACTGTTCATGTTCTCATCCCAAACAGGAAGCAGCTGCCGGTGGGTGGGATGGCCCAAAAGGGACCACTGGGTAGGGATCTGGGAGGCCTGGGGAGTAGGCTGGGGTTTCCCATGACAAGTCTTTAGCTTCCAAGACCCAAGCCGCTGCAGGGTGGGGGCACGGGAGCCTCAGACACTTGTGTAGAGAACAGAGGACCTTCCATTGTCTCGGGGAACGGTTCACCGGAGAGGCGAGGTCCACAAGGGACACTGGGGTCACATGCCACAGCTGCCTGCTGCACTGGGAACTTTAAAGAACAGAGATCCTGCCTTATGCTCTGTCGGCAGACCCTACCAATTATTTCAAGTATGGTGTGCTGGGCGAGGGTGGGGGACGTTGAGGTATTTCACTCTCAATAGAGCAGGGCTGAACCAGCATCCTCTACGGACATGCGGCATGCTTCACAGACACTTCAAGGATAGAGTTTGGTAGGTTGGTAAGAGTGAGTGTAAGGCAGGTAACCCGATGTTACCGAAAAGAGGCGGTAGGACCTACCGTGTGGCCCACGGGGACACGCTATGCTATGCTCACCTCCTCGGGTAACAGACCCAGCCCAAACGTTGTGGGCATCTGACACACGATCCGTTTCAAGAGGCCCCCAGAAGATTTTGGGCTCCTGTTCGTTTCCAAGAGGACAGCGCCAGTCCCTAGGACCATCTGCTATTGTTTTTCTTTAGTTTTCTATCAAGAAACGGAAGGACCCAGGCCAGGACCTCAACAATTAGTAGGGATGCGATTTCAGCCCTGGGCAGAGTGTTCTCCACTGAGAAACTATGAGAACTTCCCTAGGGACACGCTTGCGGTCTGTTCCCACTCTTTGCATTTTATAATTCTCACAACAGAACAGAGTCCAGTGGAATAATTAAAGCTGGTGAAATAAGTTTACATTTGGAGGCCTGGAATAATTAGACCAAGCAAAGGGATTATGTCCCCACGTGCCCCGCTGGGGGGCACGTGCCGGGTCCTTGAGCCGAGTGAGGCAGAGGAGGGGGCTGCAGCCAACTTGCAGTCTTCCCAGTGTGAGCTTGCTGCGACCACAGCTGCTTCCTCAGACTGGCCGTTTCTGAGCCACAGTGGAGCGTGCAGACAGCTTGCTCCCTGGTACACGGCTGTACCCACCCGGCACCCCCAGGCCACACCCTGAAAACACTATTGGTGAAGCGCGTTATTTTTTTTTTTCCTTTCTTTTTTTAAAGACAGGTCTACGCAACAGAAACACAAGATGCAACACAGAGCCTCGGCTTCTATGAAGTGCATCGCTCCGGTGGACAGCATGTCCTGGCACCTGTCGCCTCGCTGAGGCCAGGGGCCTCGCTAAGGGAAGAGCTGGGGGAGGAAAGAGGAAACACAGTTCCATCTCCTCAGTTTCTCTGTGGACCGGGAAAGCAGAGAGCGAATACACTACCGCCACCTCAGGCAAACACATGCAGAACTACCAGTGTCCCCTGGGCCAGAGCGCTACAGTTTCTGTACGCTGGCTCTGCCTGGCAACTTCAGCCGTCACGCATCTCAAACGGACTCAGCCGTCTTGACTGTTGGGTTGGGGGCTTCCACCCTGACAGGTGAGTGACAGAGTCAGGAAGGGGCCACCCAACATCTGGTTTGTGAACCAGAGGATGGCGAGGGACACTCTCTGGGTGATTTTGGACAGTCCAGGCATTTAAGCAGTGACACGAGCCACTGGTGGCATCAGAACACCCTGGCAGGGACCCTGCTCCGGCATTCTTAACGTGACTGTGGGACACCTTCATGAGAGACTGACCACTTAGCTGATTTCAGCATGGTAAACGTGCTGTGCTTTGGACATAAGCCATGGCATGAAAACACCAGGAGCCCCGAGCGGAGCTCAGGCAGGCTTCAGCACGGTGCTATGAGGTGACAGGCTCGTTTGGTTTCACTCAGGAGAAAGTAGAATGGGCGGCGAGGTCGGCACAGCAAGGCTCAGACATCCTGGGCAGGACCCTGTCTGGGGCTGCAAAGGAAACACAGAGGCAGCCAAGGCCAGATCCGGTTTTTTTTGTGCTGGACTCATGGTCACTCAAGTGCCCGTGAACAGGACCTGTACCTGGCGTCTGGGAGCCTGAGAGGAGGTCGGGTAGGGAGGCTGAGGCTGGAGGGCAGGCTTGGCTGGCCACTACAACCTGGTGGATGTGAGTCTCTTCATGCCTCTCCGTTGGGCCAAGCTAGACGAGAGCACAGGCTCCAGCCTCGGCGCCTGTGGGGTCCTGTTCAGGGCAAAGTAGGTGGCTGCCATGGCGCCCTGTAAGAGGAAAGGAGGGTGGGTGAGCACTGTGTCATCTAGTCCTGAATGGGATGCTGCAGCCACGGGACCTTGAGAGCCTCAGTTTGCAACCCTACAGAGCAGGGAGATCCTTACTCTGGGATTACTGGTACACCGAGGGTAGCAGGCACGCTGCTGTGTCCATAGCATAATCAGCCCGCGAATGACGGCTACCACCATGACCACCCAGGCTCAGTTAGGGCTTGTGCCTTGGGAGTACTTAAGGCTGGAGTGGAGTTCCCGGGAAGACCAGAAGGCAGATGTGTTTGTGTGCCGGCTGGGTCCCCAGAAATTCCTGGCCGATGCTTCGTGGGCTCTGCCAGTCTGAAGAGGTCTGGACTGACCTGGGCACCTGGGCTCTTGGCATAGCTGCACACCGTCGAGAAAGATCCAGGATGGACTTTCTGACAGGACCAGGCCAGGACTACACATACTTCTCGGAAGGGTGGTAGCACCTGGACCGCGGGTCTGCCTGATAGAGGTTGCTACCTAGCATGAAGGGGACCCTTATAGACCTCTGGCCCAGAAATGAGGGCTCTGCATCCCAGAGCTGTACAGCCATGGTAGCAACCACCACCCATACACCAAAGCAGCCATTCGAATACAATCTCTGCCTATGAGCCTGTGATGGGTGACTTCACATGCTACAGCTTCTTCTGTGCCTTGCTGTTCCCACAGCCACTAACTAACAGGACCTGGCTATTAGGTACCTTTACTAGATGGACATCTTGTCTGCTCAGCTGGCTTTGGGGTAGGTACTCTCTGTTCACAATCCACGGGTGTTTCAATACTTGAGCTGCCGTCAGGCGTTGCTGAGGGTCCACGTGCAACATCTTGGACACGACATCCTGCCAAGGGTTCAGAGGGGAGGGCTGTTGGGCTGGCGAGGGGCTGCCCATCAGAACACAACTGCCAGTTTGAGGCGTCTTTGCATTTCACGTGTGAACGTATTTTAAGTGCCAGTGATTATTGAGTTAGCAGTAGACAGAAAACTTATTTTTCACTGAAGATTTTGTAGCAAAGGTGTTTCAAACATTAAATGGCACACACAAGCTGCTGAGACACCATTTTGATAAAAACACAAGAAACACTATGCAGGAGAACGATGCCCTTCTACGAGAAAAGTAGCGCCTCCTGGCATCTGGCCGCAGTGACTTTGGGATGCTTTGGAGCGAGTCTGTCCTAGAAGCACAGCCTCCGGTCTCAAGTGTGAACAGGAAAGTAATGGAAACACTGGTCCCTCAAGGTCTCACGGCTGTGACGTGGTATCCCAGCACACACAGATGTACATAAAGGATTGCTACCAAGACCAGGCGGGGGACACTCAGAGGCAGAGAGCTGGCCTGGTTATAGTTTGGAAGGAAATGTTCCCCACAGGCTATGTGTAAAGCCTAGGTCCCTAGGTGTCAGTGCCATGCTGGGAGAGTCTGGAAACTTTAGGAGGTTGCACTACCACCTCCTTCATCACCTCCTCCATCACCTCCATCACCTCCTCCATCATCTCCATCACCTCTTCCATCATCTCCATCACCTCCTCCATCATCTCCATCACCTCCTCCATCGCCTCCATCATCTCTATACCTCCTCCATCATAACCTCCTCCATCGCCTCCTCCATCATCTCCATCACCTCCACCATCATCTCCATCACCTCCTCCATCATTTCCATCACCTCCTCCATCATCTCTATCACCTCCTCCATCACCTCCTCCATCATCTCTATCACCTCCTCCATCACCTCCATCATCGCCTCCTCCATCATCTCCATCATCGCCTCCTCCATCATCGCCTCCTCCATCACCTCCTCCATCACCACCTCCTCCATCATCTCCATCAATACCGCCTCCATTGCCTCTGCTATCACTACCACCAGGACCTCTGCCATCACCTCCACTGTCTCCTTTAACACGACTTGGCCACATTCTTCACCATCACCTTCACTGGCTCTGTCAGGACTTCCTCTATACCCCCTACCATATTCTCCATCATCCCCTCTACCTTTCACAGCCATATTCTATACCGCCCCTTCTTTCTCGGGGTCCCTAGCTGCCAGCCACTCTGTAAACTTCAGGCTTGCAGTCCTGGCCCCAGCGCCTAGTTCCCCAATGCCACTCCTCTGGCCCGCTCCAGCTGCTAATGTCTACATTTGCCTCCATCTGTATGTCTGTCCACGCCGACATTTCCCATTGGTACCGCTGCTCTGCACAGCGTTACCTTATCAACATCGTGAAGAAGGGAATATTTTTATTTAATTAAAAAAAAAAAAGGTGAAACACTCTGTGAACAAAAGTCAATGATGTTCGTACGGTTGGCATCTCCAGCTTCCTCACAGACAACACACCTACTGCGAATCTCCGTGCCTAGGAGGTAATAGTCCTGGGAAACACACTCACTTTTGCTGCGTCAGATATGGAGTCCCAGTTCCCCCCGGAAAGCGCGTACTTCCCACTGCCAATCCTTGCCAGAATCTCCTCGGGGGTGTCGTCTGGTCCGTTGGCAAAAGGGGTGAACCTGTGTGGGAGGGGATTGATGGCCTTGAGCTTACAGCTCCACACCGGTGCCTTCTGCTGAGGGAACAATGTCTGCCTCTTCCTTCTCCGAGTCCAGGGTTTATTCCTAGTGCCACGCCACCTTCCTCACGTGGTCAGTGCTGGGAACCAGGTGGAAGGCCTGTCCACCCTAGTGTGCATACTCTCTGGGCCTTGGGGTACACTGGCACCAGGATGCTAAGGACTCTGCCTGGAGGTTTGGTTTCCATGCCGACAGAGTGGTTTGGTGGGCAGGAACCTGAGGTGTGAAGTCCGAGGGACCTATGGGTTGTTCTACCACCAAATCTTGGCTCTTGGGCAGATTGATTCTTGGACTTACAAAGGACACATCACGCGTAGTCCTTGTCCAGCACCCTGACACAAGTCAGACACACATCAGCACACACCTCCCAAGAGGAACAAGCAAACGCTTCTCCTAGTGTTGCTTCTAACAGGAGGGGGCGTGGGCTGGTCCGCAGAAGGCCCGCGGTGCACTCCTGCCCACAGAGTTTGAATCGGTCACCCTGACCCAGACGGGTTGGTGCCGTTCACACACACGCATGAGGGGAGGAGAGTGTGAAGCCCTCAGGGGTGACGCCAACACCCCTGGTGGTCCTACGTTACCCGGCCAGCATGGTGTACAGCAGGATTCCCAAGCTCCAGACGTCACACGCTGCATCGTAGCCTTGCCTCTTCAGGACCTGGAAGGTTAACAGCACGGTCGGGATCGCACTGGGCGATACCATTTCAGAGTAGGTTTTCCTAAGCAAATGGGAAGTGGGCGGGCTGGGGTCCTACCTAGCATGTTGTAGCATGTTTCCTGAGGAGACAGGAGTTGGGCATAGCACTTGCCTGACGCACGGTGTTAAGGCAGAAGGTTTTGCTTTTCAGTTTACCGTATTAGCCACATTTAGGGATGACATCCGAGGCACGTTCGCAGGGTGGGGCAGCTACCCTCCAGAACCCCACCGTCCCAGACTAAAACTCTGTCCTTGTTAAATACAAATTGCCCCAGGCCAACCCAGTCCCTGACAACCCCATGCCACTCTATGAATCTGACTGAGTGAGGATTCCACTCATATAAGTGGAATCACACAGTGTTGTCCTGGGACTCGCGGTACCTGCCACGACACCTGCTTTATGTGGTTTGTGTTTACCAAGGAGGAAGAATTCTGAGGAATCGTGATTGTCGGAGATGCTCACGGATCACTGTGCATTGCTGCCCCATAGGCCTGAACGAGCCATTAGTGCTCTGTTCAGTTTCTCCCCAGGAGAGACTGCCTTCCTGCCTACTTTCATCACTGCATTCCTGACATCATGTGCCGTGGCGTAAGACAGGCATTAAACGCCGTGTGAAACCGCAACTCGGAGGCACCGAGTCATTCCAATGCTGACGCTGCTTTGCTCTTCACACTTACAAAGTGCACTGCACCGTCAGCATTAGTGAGGCCAAATGAGCCACAGCCAGAGCTTTCAGGCCAGCTGTTTCCACAGGGGCCGAGGCTGCTCACATACCTGGACACCCCTGGACACCCGCTGCCCATGCTTAGTCGCTCTTACACCCGGACCTGCTGGAGCCTCATTCGGCAAAGCTCATAGCAGTATCATCCTCGGAGGACTTGGAGCAGATCTGACAGTTCCACACAGGGCCCGGGCCTCTCCTGACTCCATCGGCAACGCTAGCTAGCCCCTGCTGCTGTCATTGTGGTCCCAATTTACTCCGACCCATGCAAGAACCCAGACTATGTCAGCGGCAGAAGAACCTATTGGAATTGGCCTCTGGAAGCTGGCGGGGGGGGGGGGGGACGAGGCACCCTTTTGTGATCCTCTGGGGTAAAGGGTGGGGAGCAGAGAAGTTCCCTTGCACACATGTGAGCATCTGGGTGCACACTGTTGTGGGCCCCTACTATTCAAGCCGGATGGATGCTGACTTGTTGTCAAGGAAACCCTAGAGCAAGAACCATGCACGATTTAAGTGTTTCCAATGGAAAGGAAAATGCTCGTGGTGGCTGAGTTGCCTGATTCCAGAGCCACCGTGCAATATCCCTCCCTCCACAGCAGGCTCCCCTTTGTGTGCCTCTCGGGGATACTGCTGAGCCCACTGCGCTGCCTCAATACCCCGAGCTCTCTCTCTAGTCACTCCGGTAACAGGAAAGGCAATGTGTTTCCCACAGCCTGGCAACGCTGCCTTCCCGGGGGAGTTTTAGGGACTCTACCTCGGGAGCCACAAAGTTTGCTGTGTAGCATGGGGTCATGAGCAGCCCATTCTCTGCTCGAAGCTGCTTGGCAAACCCAAAGTCACAGATGCGGATAGATTCGGGGTTTCCAGACTCATCCATGTAGAGAATGTTACTTGGTTTCAGGTCCCTGTGAACAACCTGGAAGGCAGGAAGCGTTAGTCAAGGCGGGCCAAGTGGGAGAGGAAAGGAGGGTATGCAGGAGGCATGGAGCCGATTCCTTGGGCAGGTCCCATGGCGGGAGAAGAGGACAGTGCTCTTCTGAGTGGCCACCCTATCTCTCTCACCCATGCTGGTCACTCAGTCTGCCTCCACACAGGATTAATTGACCGAGTAAAACACGCGCTATCTGAGCCTCAGGAGCAGCTGTTGGCACTATGCCACAGAAGGGCCTGTGACAGGTGGCTCTGGCTACAGAGATAAAAAAAAGGGTTCCTGTGCTTTTTGTTCACTCAGTCGGGCCTTGGGGTATGCCAGGCACAGGCTACTTGTCACGGGAACCAGAAGCATGGTGTACCTGTTGTCACAGGCACATTGGCTGCTGGCAGTAAGGGGAGAGGCTCAGGCTTGCACAGACTGCACCTGCGCCGGTTCAAGGCACAGACACCAAGCATGTCCCATAGTTACAGTGACAGCTGTCACGGCAGAAGGGCCAGCAAATACCGCAAAACAAAGCAGCTATTTGGGACACAAAGTGAAGCCCTCTGAAGGGACAGAGGGCCCTGTGGTATGCCTTCATGAGGCTGGGAAGATGAACATCCCCACTGTCCTCCTGCAGAGGAGCGGGGAGTTCTGCTAAGAAGATGGAAGCCATACCCTCAGGCAATCGGTTCATAGACACTGACGACAGCCTACAGGAAGATTCCTGTCTCCATCCCTCACTAAGCGGAAGACTACCTGCGAACTCTCAGGATACCTCCAGAACCTCGCTATTCGGAAAGCTGTGTGCGGGTCACAGGGAAGCTACACAAAAAGGCACTGTGAGGTCTTGGAAGAACTGTCCAAGCTGGCAAGCCTCTGTACACAGTTGACCCAAACCTGCTTTATGAGAAATTCTGAGGAGAGAGGGAAAGACCAGAGGGGAGGGTGGAGGTGAAGGATGGATGGGTTTGGGGGAAGAATGGAAGGAAAGACAAGAGACACAGGGTGGAGGGAGGGATGAAGGGGAAAAAATGCAGACAATGTATGATGCTGGCTGCTCCCTCCTTGACACAATGAATGCCTCCTGGAGCTCCCCAGAGTGGGGGTTGGCTTAACCAACCTGTGCTCGGTGCAGGACTTAGAAGTGAGTCCCCGAGGAGCGCGGTGCAGTCTGGGCCCTCAGACGCGGAGGGAACCCTAGCAGTTACCCTTTCTGTTTAGCTTTGTGTATCTGGTAATGAAAACTCTAAACCGCTCTTTCTTTATCAAGGTCTGGGCATCAAATTTCCCCCCTCTAAGACCGGCTCACATGTATGAATTAACCTTTTTGCTGTATACTGTATGTCCAAATGACTTTACACCCAGAACGGGTAGCAGAGCAGGCCAAGGCAAATTACATCATTCGGGTATGTTGTTCAGAGCTGAAGGAGCACGGGAAGCACCCGGGCCCTGAAGCTGGTCCCCTGCCCCGTCCTGGGCCTTACTTACCCCTTGGGAGTGCAGGTAGTCCATGGTCCTGGCAATGGTGCAGAGCACGTCACTGGCCTCCCGCTCTGAAAAGCACCGCTGGCGGAGGATGCGGTCCAGCAGCTCCCCGCCTCGCATGAGCTCCATCACCAGGTATACATACTTGCCATCATCATAGACCTGGAAAGCCAAGGGGACGCACACAATACCTCGGGGACCTGTACGTCACCGTGGCCGCTGTCCTCAGACCCTGGCTGTGTGAAGGAGAAAGGGCTCCAAACGGGGTGGAGGAGAGAAGTTTCGAGGGGCTGTGCCCCTAGGTGTAAGATGGAGCTGTCTGACTGTTGTAAACGGGTGAGTAGCCATCCCAGCTACACAGGAGCGGCTCTTCTTAGGAGGGAAAAAGCGTTGCTATCAGGGAGAATGGGCAAGCTAGACCATGGGAAACACAGGGGACTTGAGAAAAGTTGCTTAGCTGGGTTATGTGGTACAGTTACGCTGCCGGGCTTTGTGAGGTAGGCGCGCCATGGGAAGAAAAGTGACAGGTGGCGGCAGCATACTGCAAAGATAACGCTTCTCAACCGTCATCATGCATGTAATGTTGAGGGTCAAGTCAGAGTGCGTGTTCTGGCTCTGTACGTCTGGAGGGGAGGAGACTTGGCTCCAAAAAACAGGTTTTTTTTTTTTTTTTTTTTTTTTTTTTTTTTTGCCAATACTAGCTTTAAACTCAGTTTAAAAACAAAAAGCAAAATGCAAACTGGCTATTTTTGCGCCCTGCACATACAAACACGACCCAGTCGTGTATTCCAGTCACCGCGTGCACGGAGCCAGACCTAAACGCTTATTCTTAGCTCATCGATAATAATTTAATAGGTGAATTTCCAGAACGAGCTATTAAACAATTTACTTTGACCTGTGTGAAAGGCGTAGAGCCAATTCTGGTGTTTTGTTTCTGATCTCGAGTTCACTGTTCTATTTTGAAAGTGGGAAGATGACATCATCTCAGACCTGGGCTGCTCACCTCCAACAGCGGAGAGAGCCGACTCCAAGTCTGCAGAGGAGCTGGTTTTGGTTCATGAATCTTACATGTAAAGCAAGGATGCACAATAAGAGCACCACGCTTGCGTAGTGAGGGGTCCGAAACACCCAGGGTTCCATTTAAGCTTTTGGATGCAAAACCATCATTGCCTATGTTCCAATGGTGGCGTTTTTTGGTGTTACTTGAAGGAAAAAGCTGGAGAGCTGCTACAGGAGCACTTACATCTTTTAGAGTGATGATGTTGGGGTGCTGGCCATAGCGCAGGAGGATCTCGATCTCTTCCGAGGGGTCCCTTTTGCTCTTATCGATGATCTGAAACACACACAGCAGACAGCATTGAGAAATTGGCTGCTGGCCTTGTTGGACCATTGCAGACAATGGGCTGAAGGCCCCAGAGAGCCACAGCATAGCTGCCCCCACCCCCACGGGACTCCAACCAAGATCGCTTAAAATTCCTCAGAAATGTAGATCTAGTAAAAAGAGTGCAATTAAAAAGAGGAAGCCAGGTCTGTAACTCCAGCTACAAAGGAGCCTGTGACAGGAGGAGAGCAGGTTGTAGGCCCTGTCTGGGCAACCTAATAAGACCCTGTCTCAAAGTAAAAAGTAAACAGAAGGGTGCCAGGGATGGAGCTCGGTGGCAAAGTTCTTGTCTAACGTATACAAGGCCCCGTGTTCAATCCCTAACAGCACAAGAATAAAGGGGACCAGGCATGGAGAGCTCCGGGCACAGCTACTAGCACAGTCTGTTGCAGCCACTGAACTGTGGTGTTTAGCTCTCACTTCACGTGGTCAAATGGGCTCCCAGTCACGGAGGCCTCGGCTTTGTTCTGGAAACTACACACCGGCCACAAGATGTATTAGCAGAGCAGGTCCTCGCAGGAGGATGCAGGAGGCTGAGCAGGCTGCACTTCCCTCACGGCCAAGGTACACACACCACCCCTTTCTTTCTGGGTTTCCTCCCCTGCCCAGTATTTTGCACAATGTTTTAGAATAGCAGATAAAAGTGTTTGACTCCAGGAAGGTGGGTGGCTTCCCCTTACTAGGCACCACAAATCAAGGCCTGCCTTTGAAACAGGAGTCCCTGTCCCTCTCTACATGATGGCCCTGACATCTCTAGAGGTGCCTTGCCTCCTATGTTTTCGGGGAGAGCTGGTGGAGAGAGAGGATCTGCGTGTGTGGAGTGGGCATCATTTAGGTTGAGAATGACTCATAAATGCAGAAATGCCCCCTACCCCCAACAACACCCCAGTTCCAGAGCCTCTCTGCTCTGACTACATGGGTATCCCATACCCAACATATTCCCTTTGCAATATATTCCCAGGCTTAGACAATTTAGTGGCAGATGCATTTGTTTCCCAAAGTCATTTTTATGATAAAGTTATCCACTCCTGACATCAATCTGGTCTCTTCCCAAGGAGCCAGTTGCAGAATGAACAAGAGGAAGTCTTTTGTTGACCGCCAGGGACACTCAAATTGGAAAAGCACCGCAGATGTATCCTACAATGGCACTTGTTTTTAAAAGCAGAGAGGGAATGTAGAGAGACGCATGCATTTCCTTGAGAACTGCAGAAATAACCCTGGGAAGGAAGAGGAAAATATCAAAAACCTTGGCTTCCCGTGAAGGAGGAAACGGGTAACATGGAGCTGGAGCTATGGCTGGAGGACCCTGAGGTTTCTGCAAGTATAGCTTTTGAATCTGGATCGTGTGAATATCGTCTGTTAATATTTATGTGTGAGAATACTTGCAGCCATCATAAAAATGCCTGGCTCCACAGATGCTTGGCCCTTTTCCTCACCATACCTGTCTTACTCCTGTTTGTCCTTTGGATGTAAGGTCACGAGAAAAATTTGTGAACAAATCCCGTTTTTTTAAAGACCTTAAGATCTCGCTGACATTAAATAACATGTTAAGGCTGTAGTAAGAATCAATGTGTATGTTCAACTAGGAAGCACGCCGGAGGACGCGCTGGTTAGTCTGTTATAATACCGCACGCACGCACACGGCTGAATGTCACATGTTTGGTGGAACTTGCAAAGCAACTCCACCAAACACAAGTAAGTGAGACATTCTCTCAGGCTGCTGTTGAGTGGATGGAGAACATAGGAGATCCTTCAGGGGGGTTCCCTGGTGGGATGGCTTCTTGGGTATGGTGTAGGTGGATTCACTTCCAAATAGATCAAGTCCTGTGGACCACGTTCTTGGCTCTTCTCTCCGGGTATAAGCTTGCTAGCAGAGACGACCACAGTCAAAGGCAGGAGGAAGGGAAGGCAGCATCCTACTCCACGTGCAGCTGTCCTTGCTGGGTAAGGGTCAGGCAGCATCCCGCCTGGCACACAGCTGTCCCTGCTGAAGGTGGGTAAGCTCCCCGCGGTTGGGCTGTGCAGCACACTGCTTGCTTCTCAGGCTCATCGGAGGTGCTAAGCTGAGGCGTGCAGGAAGATGGCTTTTCTTAGCAGGGGAATCACGTTTCCTGGTGGCTGATGGTGCTACACAAGAGTGTCTGCCACCCTCGAGGCGTTTCCTCCACTTCTCTGTGTCTGTACCTGTCCTTACTTGCACTTTTCGAGCTCCCCATTATAAGGATTCGGGCATTACGCTGGCCTGCCCCTGTCACCTGGCAGAATGCACTCAGGCAGTGCCCTGGTCAGCCCAGGGTTCCACGAGTCCTCTGCAGGTGCAAAGGATCCCGTTAAAAGAAAGACCCCGCCCACTTACGATCGCTTTTGCTCTCTTCTTTTGCTCTTTGCTTTCTTTCCCTCTCTCTCTCTCTCTCTCTCTCTCTCTCTCTCTCTCTCTCTCTCTCTTTTCCCTTCCCCCTCATCCCCAATTCTAAATAACCTCCTCATTCCAGTTCTGTCTGCCTGGCGTGTTATCATCTCCTCCACCTCGGTCACCCTTACCTGCTATGGAACCTTCTATGCTCTCCCACGTGGCCCCTTACCTTGGGACCTCCCCCCACTCGGGACGCCCCCCCCTTCACCGGCTTTCTCCTATAACTGTAGCAAAAGGACAACAGCCATCACCGACGCAGCCCCTTTCTAGGTGATGAGCTTGAAAGCGGGGTCCGAAGGCTGCAGCGCAAGCAGGATGCACTTCTCAGGCCCAGGGCTTCCTTTCACTTGCTGGAAGAATCACAGTATGTTGGAAGCAAGTCAAGTACAGAATGTACTTGAAAAAAAAAAAACACGTAAGAAATTTTCTCCTGTAAAATTAAACAAATGACAAACAGGAAGAACTCCAGTGTTTTCGTCGTAGGAAAAAAAAAAAGATATTAAAATTTCCATGCCAATGAGTCCTTCTAAAAATAAGGATCTGTTTGGTTCCAGTTCCTTGCTGGTTGACAAGTTATATACACAGAATGAAACTGAGCACAGGCAAGCAAACTCTGCTGTACACCGACGACGAGATGTGAGTCCAAACCCGAGTTCCCATGAGGAGTTAGTCCTGTCCTGGGTGTGGCAGCCACATGCTGTGCTGTATTAAAAACAGGGTGACATACATACAAAAAGAGCCATCCAATTTCTGACAGAGAAGCCAAACACACACACACACACACACACCACACACCACACAACACATACACACACGCACTCACACACACATGCACTCACACACACTCACACACACACTCACACACACCACACACACACATACACACACACACTCACGCGCGCACACACACACACACACACACTGGAGAAACTGGCTGTCAAGACATGAAAGCAATGGGCCTCGATCCCTCTCACCCTGCACACAAATCAGAGACCTCAGTGATGGTGGTCCCCTCCTCCCACCGCGTGGGTCCTGGGAATGGAACTTAGGTCATCAAGCTCGGCAGCAGGGACCTTTATTTTTATCTGATCCCAACTATGGGCATTTAGTAACAACAGGTGTGCTGCCGAGGGGGTGTGGTCGCTGCCGCCTCCCCCAAAACTTCAGCCACCGGAGGGGTTGTCAGTAAAGAGGTGCACGCCTGGGCCAACGTGCACGTTCCGTTCCAAACGGCAGGGCAAGAGGAAAGGCCACCTGAAGGGCGTCCCTGCCAACCTCCGAGTTTCCATTATCCTACTTGTGTTGTAGATTCTGGCTCTGTGGTCAGTGAGGAGAGCTATCAGGGACACAATCATGCATAAGCCGCTGGCTTCCTGAAGGGGAAGCCATAGGCGGTGTGCTTGCTGTTGAAGGATTTTCTGACCGTTGAAGAAAGATGACCCGGGGTTGAAGTGCAGCCCTGGAGTGCTTCCCCCGTGATTGGTAACAGTGCATGAGCACAGACCTCCATCGTCTACCGCTCGGTCTGTCTCCACCACACACACACACACACACACACACACACACACACACACACACACACATTCACACACTGACACACACAGACACAACAAACTCACAACACTCATATACACACACACACAGAGACACACACAGAGACACACACTCACACACTCACAAGCACACACACAGACATTCACACACACAGACACACACACTCACAGACACACACATGCACACACACTCACACACAGCTTTCTTGAGTTCAGCGTTCTACAGAGAGGCTTACGTAGGCTCTGCTCACTGGAGCCGTGTGGACACAGAAGTTGATCAACTCTTGGATCTTCCGTCTTTGAAGGAAACCCAGGAAAGGTTCAAACCTCAGAGAAGTAGATTCACTGCTGCCCGCCATGGGAAGCTCGTGTGTGCCCTTAGGTCACATGTAGACACTTAACTGTGTCCTGCCAAGAAGCACTGGCTTACCATGGTCCTGGTCTGTCTGGGGTGGGGGGAGGGAGTTGAGCATTTTCCAAATTAGGACTCACTATACTCTCAGAAAGGACAAAGGAATCCTTGCATGTCTGCCACTTGGTTTGTCCAGGGAGTCTCAAGGCTTAGAATGACAAACAGGGAACTCCTGGCTCTTCGTTTACTGTCAGGTAGAGGGAGATACAACACCCAGAGAGAGAGGCAACACCCCGGCTTTTCTGGGGAGGAGGCTGTCACAGATTGCACAGGGTCAAACCTCACCAGGACCTTTGAGGACAGAGTCCTAACTCCCAGCAAAGCTGATTACAGTAGGGGGCTCCGCGTGACAGCTGGATGTGGGAGCAAACCACTGGCCCTGTCAATGGGGCTGAGTCAAGAGGCACAGAATTACCATGAAACAGCAGCGAGCTGTTTCTAGAAAAACACTGGAGCTGGCCACACAATGGGTGTGCTTTCCAGCGCTCTCTGGCAGCTCTGTTTGCTTCTAGGAGTGCTGCTGGCCTCGAGATAAACAATCCGAAGAACTTCTGTGAGAAACAACTCACAGAGAAATACTAAGAAGCCCACGCAAGCCACAGAGTACTGGGAAGTCCTCTGGGGTGAGGCAGGATACAGATCTTCTGTTAAACCTCCAGCCATACAGTCTAGACCTGTATCCGAGCCCTTGAGGGGACGGCCTGTGACACAGGCCGGTGACCCTGCTGTGTCTCTTAGCCCCTGCTTCCTCTGTATTCGCCTCAAGGCCACAGATGCCTGAGATGTTTGGCTGGTGTTTTTTGTTTTGTTTTGTTTTGCTAGGCTGCTAAATAGTTTTGCAACCTGATAAACCTGGGGTAGACGGCCTGTGAAGATGCATTTTCTCTTGAGAAATGTCCAGTGTCAAGAGACAGCAGTGGATGCGCAATACCCCATGCTCACTGCACCAAGCGGTCTTTTCAGAGCTGGGAAGACTCACAGTTGATGGAAAGTCTTGCTGGTCAGCCCCAACTCTCCCTAGACACTCTCTGAAGACTTGGGACAGTGCCACATGCCAAGCAGAGCCGTGTGGTTCCTGCCACGGTGACACAGGCTAAAACTTCGTCCCTCAAGACTCTGTGGGGTGTGTGTGTGTGTGTGCGCGCGTGTGCACACGTGCATGTGTGTGAACATGTGTGCGCACCTGTGGACGTCAGAGAACAACCTCAGGATTGAGTCCTCCCCTCCCATCTTCTCTGAAACACAGTCTTTTTCTTGGCCTGCCCAAGCAAGCCCGAGGCTTCCCTGTCTCTGCCCCCACCTCACCTGGGAACACTCAATGCAGATGCGTGCTCCACACCTGGGAACATTTAATACAGATGTGTGCTCCACACCTGGGAACATTTAATACAGATGTGTGCTCTACACCTGGGAACACTCAATACAGATGTGTGCACCACACCTGGGAACACTCGATACAGATATGTGTGCTCTACACCTGGGAACACTTGATACAGATGTGTGTTCCACACCTGGTTTTATATTGGCTGTGCAGATCTGAAGTCAGGCCCACACGCTTTGTAATGAGTGTTCTGCCCACTGAGCAACCTCTCCAGCCCTATGACTCTTGTCAAGAGTGGGTGGTGGAGGTTAGACCACCCCACAGTTGTGGAGAGAGAACACACAGTGTGTAATGCGTGGTGTGTGCATCTGTGTATGTTGGATGCTGACTTCAGAAGAAGGAAACTTTAGCTTTTACTAATTAGAAAACCCCAGACATTGGCATTTTGGGTCCCCAGGTTGAACATTTAACCTGTAGCAGTTACAGAGGTGAAAATTACTACCTAGAGGTTGCCAAATTGGATTACAGGTATCTATACTATATACAGGTTTTGGTGGTTGGAGTAAAGCGTTAGCTGTCTCCTTTATTCTCTATTTCTATTTATTTCAATTATTTTTTTTTCACAGCTGTATCTGTCCCCCTCCCCTTTCCTTCCTTTGATAAATGCTATGCTTGTTTGTTGGCCTGCTTCTTAGATACTTTGTGCCTAGGGCTATTATTCTTGGCACATTATACTTAGTTACTAAAGATGATTGGTTCCCTGTTGGACATAACTGAAATATTTATGATTTGAAAAGATTTTTTTGGGGGGGGGGTCCTTTGAGATTGAATCTTGCTACATAGCCCAAGCTCATCTGGAACACCCAGCTCTCCTACCTCAGTTTTCTGAGTGCTCTGGTTACAGTTGTATGTCACCACACCCAGCTTGCAAAATAATTTTTAAATAGGTGACCTCATGTCAAAATAAACTAAAACCCATCACACCAGAGCTCAGACACTGTGGATGGAGAGAGCCTGCTCAGCATCCGAGCTCCTGCTGGTGGTACTGGTCATCTAGGCCAGGGCTCCTTGCCTTACCTTCACAGCATACTCGGCATCGGTGGCTTTGTGTACGCACCGCTTGCACACGGAGTAGGAGCCCACCCCGATGTCCTCCTTGATCTCGTAACCATCAGTGAAGTGGATGTTGTTCCCATGCAGCTGCTGCAGAGAGGCCAAGACAGGGATGGTTAGCAGCCTTACACACAGTTGCACATGACTATAGACACAGACCCAGGGCACCCTGGGAACTCGTGAACTCGGGAAAACTACGAGTGCCTTGTCCAAAGCCACAGAGCTATGCATAGATGGTTCTAGAGCTCCTGTGGCCTACAACTTTTAATACTTAGCCACCTGGATAGTATGTGTCCATTGATCACTTGTTTTTCTTCCAAAGATGCATGGTAGTGAGAAACCATGGAATAAAGCCGTGGCAGTAAGAATCTGTGGCAGTAAGAATCTGTGGCAGTAAGAATCTGTGGCAGTGAGAATCCGTGGGGTAAAGCTGTGGCATGAGAATCCGTGGGGTAAAGCTGTGGCAGTGAGAATCAATGGTAATGAGAATCAGTGGAATAAAGCTGTGGCAGTGAGAACCCGTGGGGTAAAGCTGTGGCAGTGAGAATCTGTGGTAATGAGAATCCGTGGGGTAAAGCTGTGGCAGTGACAACCCGTGGGGTAAAGCTGTGGCAGTGAGAATCTGTGGTAATGAGAATCCGTGGAATAAAGCTGTGGCAGTGAGAACCCGTGGGGTAAAGCTGTGGCAGTGAGAATCTGTGGTAATGAGAATCCGTGGAATAAAGAGGCATGCACTTGTCTGGTTGCAGTGCTATCGCCAGAGTGAGTGTCCAGAAAAAGGACCAACCCATATGTTTAAGTCGCAGGCCAGTTCTGGCCCACGTGTATAGTCCCCACTTGCCCACCCCTGGGAACCAAAACCTCACGAACCACAGCCACAAGGGAGACAGATGCCAGGGAAATGCAATGCCACCTACTACACTGAATGATGACATCAAGTGCTCAAGTGAGCTTACTCCAAATCCTTCTGAGTTCTCTGAGTTCGAGTTACAGCCACAGAATGATGGAAGTGTAAATGACGTCCCCACTAACCTCCCAACGACACGGCACCCACAGCTCACACAGAAAAGACAGGGGCCGCTGTCACAGACACCCATGGTGGTCATCTCCTCAGACTTTTGTTTCCTCTTTAGAAATGAATGTATAATGGTTCTGATCACCAGGAAGATCACCATGGCAACACTCAGTAACATGTAGAGGTAGGGAGATGTCTACCATTGACCCACCATTAGCACCCAGCACTGAGCTGATAAAATTTAACAGGGTCTCCAAGGCCAGGCATCAAGGCTCTGACCTGAGCTCCTGGGACAACCAGACATACCTGCACAATTGGATGAATAGGGGCCTTGGGCATGTCTTGCTGTGAGGGCTCCTGGACCAGGCTGGAGGCCACGAAGCTGAATCCTCTGAACAGGTGATGGGCGTTTGCACTTGGGGGGACACCAGGGGAGTCTGTGGATGAGCAATGCATGGTTTACACTTCATGAGAGCCAAGTGAGCCAGGGCAAATACTTGTGTGCACATGTGTGCACGAGAACACATATGCAGCTGGCGTGTTGGAAAAGGTATGTACAAGTAGAGAGGTAGAAACACATGACACTTTCTCAGAGTCTGATTCAATTTGGCAAGCACGTCACACGGAAGTTTTCAGATAGTCACTGATGACATGTTTTTAGGTTACTAACTTTGGAAGTTACTAAATGTTCTTCAGCACAACCCACCACCCCTCCCTACTATAGATCATGGCCAAAAACAAAACAAAACAAACAAACAAACAAAAAACAAAGCAGCCAGAAGCTCTAGGAGGAGCAGAGGTCCCATGAGCCAACACCTCCTTTCTGGGCTAAGCAGATGCTGTCAGCCTAAAGATAACCAGAGAAAAGTCAAAGGTTTCCGCAGTCCACATTCACCTACATCCCCTATCTGTGCCCAAAGCCACACCCACAGCCACACAGACCCTTCCATAGCTGCACAGCTCTGTGCCGAGACTACCCGACCCTGTTCCTCAAGGACACGTGGGCAAAGTCACTCCTGCCCACAGTCCAGCAGATGAGTCAAAGGGGTGATGTTTCCAAGTCCCATGAGATCCGTTCAGAAGCATGTCTGCTATGATATGGTTCTCCTCCAGGCTCACCATTGGGTAAACAGGAAGACAAATGCCTGGCTGGGTGGGGGGGATATGTGACAGGCAAGAAGGAGCAGAGGAAGCCATCCTCATGGTCACCATGTCTGGAGATGTTCTGGTTATTAAACAGATGACAGTAAAGCTAAGGAATCCGTAAAAGTGAGAGCAGCCAGCCACACCTAGATTTGGCCAAAGGAAAGCAACCTCGGAGCTGAAGGAGGGAACTTGAATTGGCTTGTGGTCTTGGACAAGGAGGGATGGGGGATGGCCCCTGCATTTTCAAAGTCACATGTCCTCTGAAGAGCCAGCATGCATCTAGGAATTTAGTCCTCAGAATTATTTTCAAAAGCACAAGTGTAGAAAATGTTGTCTTTAGCATTATTTGTGACAGAGGGAAAAAAATTCACAGCCAACCTACATGCCACAACCACAATTAGTAACAGTCTGCCCACATCAGAATGCTTTACTGCTGGGTGGGGTATGTGTGAGCTTGTTTGTATGGAGACATCAATATCAAGTGTCTTCTTTGGTTTATCCTGATCCTTATTTAACCGCGATATCACCTAATTTTTTTTTTTTTTTTTTTTTTTTTTGGAGAAAGGGTAGCTCATCCAACTTGGAGTTTATTTTATTGAACGAGCTAGGCTGCTTGGCCACAGAACTCTGGGGACCTGTGTCTCCAGTTACTCAGTTCGGGAATTATAGATGCAGTGACATACCTAGCTTTAATTAATTAGTTAATTAATTGTTGTATACGTGCATGTGTGTGTGTGTACACACGCATGTGCATCTGTGAACAGGCATGTGTGTGGAGGTCAGAGGACAACTCTCAGGAGTCTGCTCCCTCCTTCTACCTTGTCTCTCTGTTTCGGCCATGCTGCATGTTCCAGGCTACCTGGCTGCCCTGCCTCAGCTTGAATGTGAAGTGTCTCCCACAGGCTCATGTGTTTGTAAACTTGATCCTTAGCTGGTCTACCTGGGAAAGCTATGGCACTTTGAGAGATGGAGTCCTGCTGGAGGAAGTACATCACAGGCTTTGGGGTTTTGTATCCTGACACCACCTGCTCTTCTCTCAACTTCCGGATTTGTTGCTGGAGTTTCTCTTGTCCCGCCAGGTCCTGCTACAGCTTCAGCCCCAAATAAACACACAAAGGCACTATATTAATCATGAAACTGTTGGCCAATGGCTAGGGCTTATTACTGGCTAGCTCTCTCTTAAGTATTAACCCATTTCTATTAATCTAAGTATTTCCATGTGGTCTTATCTTACCGGAGAAGGGTTGGGACCTGTTACTCCTTCCGCCCATACGTGGCGTCTCTGGAGGTGTGATCCTAACAGTTTGGAAGCTAAAAGCAGACAAAGGCAGCAGAAACCAAGTGTGGTGCTGTCCCCCTGCTGGACTGAGCTCCAGGAGGCTGAGCCAGGAAGGTCACAGGCTCAAGGCCAGCCTGGGCTACATAACTAGACCTGGCTCAAGCAATAACAGAAACAACAACAACAAAGCACGCACACACACACACACACACACACACAAAACAAAAATTAAAAAGGAAAAGAAACAAGGGAGGGGGTGGGTGGGAAAGGCGGACAGAAAAGAGATGCTGTGAAAAGATAAAAAACTTGGCCCCCTACAAGTGAAGACCGAGCTATGTAAACACCTAGTACATTTATATATTAGAAGTACATAAAATATATAATATGTAACAAAGTCCATAATATATTTAGGACACCCAAATAAATAATGTATTAGCTAATAATATTTAAAATGTAATATATAACCTAGTCCTTTTTTTTTCCCTATGTTTTTGGTTGTGAGCCTTTAACGGCTGAGCCATCTCTCCAGCCCTAGTTTTTTTTTTTTTCTTATAAATACATATGACGATTTTAAAATACACACTACATTAGACATCATACATACATACGCATACATATGTGAACAGGTAAACTGGTGTGTATTTGCACGTTCTGGAGTCATTTACCCCAGGAGGAGGAATTTCTGCCTTTCTACCCTCCCTAGGTCTTTACTTGATATGGAGACAACGGTGGGTAGGGATATAGGGAGGAGAGAGAATGTAGCTTTTGTTCCTTCATAGTCTACTTTGGCTACAGGGTTGTGAGGGCTGCTGCTTCATAGCCCAGGGGCAAGGCCAGTGAGCTGGGTGGGGGATGGGCCTCGGATCCCACACAGGGTGGACATACCCTACCATGTACTTTATTTACTGGGCAGAGATGACCCCCACCTTATGGGACAGGACGCTTCCTGGATACAGGTTCACCTTAAGAGCCCAGGGCAGAAAGGGAATAGACCCAAGATTGGCTGCCTCGCAAGACGCTCAGTCTCCCATGTAGACAGACACTCATGTGACCTGAATTAATGTGACCGAGGCCGACTGCCTGGAAACAAACTCTAAACTCCAGAGGTGCTAGACTTGGGAGGCTTAATTAAAAGGCAAGGCACGGCAGCAATGCTTTTAGGACGAGAAGTTATGCACAGCGAGACGACCAATGGCAGCGTGGAGTTTAATGTAGACTGGGCTCTCACTCAGCCTGGGCCCTGGGGATGGATGGGCTCCTGCTCTGTCAAGACACGGGATCCTGGCTTCCAGGTCTCGTTTCTTGCCTTCTCTTAACATTAAGAGACTGGACGAGAGGAAAAAGACTTAACAGTGGGTATGTCAGTCTCAGGGACTCAGGCTTAGGGTTAGGAATTTGGGCTGTTTTAGGAATTCACTGAACCTGGCAGTGCTGAGGGCATAGACCAGGGTCTGTTTAGGGCGCACTGGGTGTGTATGCCCATACTCGTGTGTAGGGAACAGGTCACATTAACTTGAACTCATGCATCCTTTGGTGGTCAGATCGAGTCAGCAATATTTTCTAGACAACGGAGATGCCGGTATCTCTGTGCATAGACGGAAGCCGTCAGCGGGAACCCAAGGATGGTCCGTCTGCTGCAGTGCGATGAGGTCTTTATAAGAAGAACCCTGAGGGACTGACATTTGATTTTTGAGGCTGGATGTGAGCAGATGGCAGACAGTAGGAATGGAATTCAGGATGCTTCGCACTCAGTCAAGAGGGGCCGAAAGCCAGCACAGTACACACAAAAGAGCAAAATTGCAAGTTAAACTTAAAAAAAAAAAAAAAAAAAAAAAAAAAAGTAAACTTGCAAAAGCAGTGATAAGCATCTGTCCTGGGGAAAGGTTTTCAAACCTTAGACGGCACACTCCACTGAGCAGCCGACGTGTGATCAGGAAGCAGAAGCTCCCTTGTGGCTTCATGCTAATCCTACCACAGGAAGTACCCTCCGTGTTTCCAGGCTGTTTCGGATCACACCACTGTGGCTGCTCTTTAACTTAGTGGTCTACTTGGCTCCCCTGCTGGGAAAATCAGGGTGACTTCTCTGTATCTTTATCACTCACTCCATTACTGCCACCCCCAAGGCAAGCTGCTTGGTGATGTCTATTAACTTAGTATCTGCACAAATCACAGTACTAAGGAATGACACGAGCCAGTGCTAGACACAGGGTTGAATGCCCATGTCCGCTGTGTTTTCCTTGGGCTAATATTAAGATAAGACATCATTTCTGTATGCACGGAAGGCTTAGGGGGCTTACTTAAGGCCACACCAAACAGCTAGGCTGGAGTTTAAATTACAAAGGAAATGCAGAGAGCTCACACAGTGGATGCCTGGAGCTGCTGGCCTTAGCGGCTCTGCTCCATCCATCCGTGGAGCATTTTAAACATGTAGTACCACAGGACAGACTCGTGACTAATGTTGCCCTTCCCAGTGAGGACTCTGCCGTCCCCAAGGTCTGGGCAGAGTGAATTTCCCATCTGCTTTCGTGTTTGCTCACTTTTGGGTCGGGCGCAGGAGGACTGGTGAGCCGCTCAGGTGGCCTCCGGGGCTCTGACCTCCTGACCTCAGGAGAGGAACGGGCATGCTCCTCTGTGCCCTGGCCCACACTGTCGTGGGACTGACCGATTGGCAGCATAAGAAACAAGCAGCATTGGAGGGCAGTCCTTCCCCAGCCTTACTGTGGTCTTCCCTAGGGAGGAGCAGGACCAAGAGGCCAGAGAGAGCCATCTGTGGTGCTGCACTGGAGAAAGGCATTGCTCCAGGGAAACAGGGTGGATTCTCTATTCCCCTTTCCCCCATCTTGTTTTGTGGTTAGTTTCCAACAACCTTGCACCATTCCCCGTTTGGAAGCAGTGAGAAGTCCCAAAGAGTCTCTGCACAGCCACCAGCAGCTCCCACAACGGCAGGCTGAACTTGCTCTCTGAGTGTGCAAGGGGGTTTAGCAGCTGCTCCGTATGCCATCACCCCGTCACGGCAGTGGCTCCCACTGCCCTGCCCATGGTCAGCTGTGTTTGCAGTCAGGGTCTTCATGGGAGAGGTCAAGATTAAATGAGGTCAGGGAGTGAGTAGGCCCTACCCTCACAGGTCCTCCTAACAAGAACAGGGTGGAGCACAGCCTTCCCCAGCCTTTCCGCTCAGGGAGGGAAGGCCACCAGAGGACACAGAAGCCCTACCAGGAACAGACCCTGCCAGCAGCCTGACCTTGAACCCAGCCTCCAGCGCTGTGCCACAACGCACACCACTTGTTAAGTCACCCTCCAGCGCCACCCTGTCATGGTAGTCTGAGACGACTAATCACGTAAAACCGCAAACCAGAATGCTAACGTTTAAGAGAGCCGGCCAGCTATGAGAGGACCACACGGACCCCAGGGATCTCACACACCAGGAAGCCCAGTTTCTGTGCTGGGCTTTAGTTGCTCTGCATCCATCAAATAGGCCCCCAGCCGTCACAGAAGTCATACATTTAGTCCATAAGCTCGCAGACCTAAAGACAGCCTCTTCCTCCCACAGACCACTGATGTGAACCACCTGTTTCTTCTCTATGTCTTGCCCGTGTGTCCCTGGGAAAGACTGTCACTGTCCAGCGTCTCACAGCAAAAGAGGGGGCCCACACAGAGTGTCACACGAGGAATAGTGAGACCTGGTTCTGCCATTGACAGCTTACTGCTAAGCAGAGACATCCAGAAGAGCACAGAGTGGGTTAAAGGTTACCCCCTAAGGGAGCCTCCTTCACACAGGCTCTCGCAGAGACCGGATCAGACCAACCTGTGGGTGTCCTTGCAGTGAACTCGGGGTCGAAGTGGAAGGTGTCCTCAGGCCTGCCCACTGCAGGCTTGAAGGGCGGCTTGATCTCCTTGCGGTACAGCTTCTGTAGGGAGAACGGGATATATTGAGAGCAGGCTACAGACAGCAGGGACCAGAGGCCACAAGCGGCCCCCACACTTCCAAGATGTACGAGGAGGCGCAATGCAGACTGTACGCGTTAGCTATGTAACTGTATTTATGTAGCACCATATCTCACCGTGTGTGCTACACGGAGGGCCGTATATGTAGTATGGAAATTACACGTTAGATGTGAACTACAAAAGGTATAGCTTGGGGTTTTAAAGGTTTGACATTTGCTGAATGCCTTTCAGTTAGTGCACTGGTTTTCTACAGGATTTTTTTTTTTTTTTTTTTAATCTCCAAGAAAGCATTAGAGGCTGGCCATACACTGTGGGATCGTCACCGTGGAGCCCTCTCTGGGAACCGTGAAAACAGAGGCCCAGAGAAACCCTTGCTCACACAGCTCTTCCCACGGCTGTGGCAAAAACACACACAAGTCCAGGGGTCCATCTCAGATCTGCTGCAGAAACTGCTTTCCAACCCAAAGCATGCTTTTCCGTCCTCCATGGAGACGATAGCGCATGAGGTGATTTAAGGACACTGCGCACACAGTTGGGATCTGGCAAGGTACCTGTGCTGGACCCTGGATGGTGAGGAGCCAAGGGCACCAAGGGGCAGAGACAGGCAAGAAGGGATGTGGCGGGTAATTCATGCCCACCCTGAGGGAGGGGGAGGCAGCCGGGATCTCCCGGTCCGCCTCATCCATTTTAATAATCTCATTTGTCTCTCCGGTGTCAAGATGACATCAGCTTCAGCACTGACAAGGAGACAGATTTCATGTTACACAGGTGCTGAGGATGCTGAGCAGGGACATCAGGGCCTACACACACCGCAGAGGCCGTGTGGAAAGTCAGCAAAGGGCACAGAGCACAAAGCAAACACGGAGGCGGCCAAGGGCACAGGGAGCTGGCTCTACCTTGGGGGTCACAGACCCTAGCATCTGCTCCCCACTGTACAGTCTTGGCTGTAGGCACTTGTGAAATTCATCTGCCCCGATGAGCGAGGGGCACAGATGTGCCCTTCCTGACTCGGCAATGCGGGGCATGCCAGCACCGAACTAGGAAGCACAGGGAGATGGGGAGGAGGAAATGATGCCCAGGGCCCAGGGGGTGGGCGGTGCCACAGTCAGGGGAAGAGCACAACCTCTCCCCTACAGCAAAGCTGTCTAGATCTACAGAGTCCCCAAAGGGAAGGCACTGTGGTCACAGCCCTCACGGGGACTTTGAGGGGGGTGAGCTCTCCTGGTGCATTCACCACGGAGTGGGGGCACAGGACGAAAACCCAGCGACAAAACACTGGACGCAACACACATGCAGTGAACGGCCGTGTGTCCCCCCCACCCCCTCCAACCAGTGGGCAGGACAGCTACGGCCACCAAGCCTGTTTCCCTTCAGAGCCCTTCCCACCTCACAGCAAAACCGATGATGTGCTGGGCTGGAAATGTAAAAAGTACCACAAGCACGTAAGTAGTTAACGGCCATGGGGCTTCGCACAGTGAACCTCCACCCTGCCACCCTGGGGCTGAAATGGGTGAGGTGTTTTCTCGCTCTTTCGGAGAGCCATTTCACCATGGGCCTGCTTGCTAGGAGCTGGCTGGCTGGGCCCCAGGGTGGACTGGCTTGCTTAGCCTGTGAGGTCACCGTTTATGTTTATTTTGGGTTTGGGCTAATCCTGAGTTCTCAGCATCACTTCAGCCACCAGGAGGAAAAGTAAACAGAGCTTACATTTGCCAGCTCCACCATCCTCTGCACGAGCTTCCTGCTCTATAATTAACTTGTAATTTTTCACTTAGCTAGGCAAGCAGCATGGGTGTTTGGAGGGCAGACCCCAGAACTGGCACACTAATGTGCTGGGAGCAGAGGGCGATCGGAAAGGCAGGGAACCACAGAGACCTGCCACCCTCCACCTGCTTCAGCTGACACTGGTGACACTCACTGCTAGGGTAGACGACACTCTCTGTGCCCACAGGTCACCAAACCCCCAGGGGCCCTCTGGTGGATGACAGGCATTTACTTAAAGAACAGAAACGTAGAAATATATGCTGGCGATTTTGGGGTCACAGGAGGCAACAGAAAGCAAAATAGGCTGATGTTTTCTGGGCTGTATCCTTAGGCTGTCCCTGGACAGGGTCCACAGGCAGGAATCTGATGCCAGCAAATGTCTCCTCCTTTGTCGATACTGAATGCCCACACTGCCAAGGGACATGGAAGGGATCCCCTGGTGAGAAGAGTCCTGGGGAACACGGGGCTTCAGTGGTGTACTAAAGAAGAGATACAGGACAGTGCAGAACAAAGCAAAGCCCAACGGCCTGGGGCGTGTGTGTGTGTGTGTGTGCGCGCACGCGCGCGTGTGCGTGCATGTGTGTATGCACGCACGCACGCGCACGGTGGAGTCCTGCTGTGGCCACACAAGGGTGACACCTGGACCACTTGTGAGGGGAAGGACAGCTGAGACAGAGGGCTAGGTCAGATCAGACCAGCAAGGCCTCACATTGACTATCAAGGCCTCTAGAGCCCATACACGGTTCTTTCAGAACTGTTTAGCCCCGTGTTCTTAGCTGGGCCCCTTCCTTCCTTCCTTCCTTTCTTCCTTCCTTCCTCGACTCCCTCTCCTGGTTACCTCCTGCTCACCATCTCCCTGTTTGTTTTCTCTGAACTGGATACTCACACACTACTGCTATGGCTAAACAGCTTGCCTCATGGCACACCTGTCCACCCTCTAGGACAGGGTTCCATGCTATCACCATGCTGTAGGCATACCTCACTTCTACTGCACCCAGGCATGCTAAAACATGGCTTATGGTAGGTAAGTTAGCATGACAGCAGGTTTCTGGGCTCCTCTACCATGCAGGACTATTTATTAGAGCCACAGATGAAAGAAGGTTGCCATCACCCCAGACTCTGCGGGTACTGTCTCGTAAGGACAGGGTGAGAATAAACATATGTGGCCCTAGTGACCCCAAAGGGCCTCTTTTAAAGCCAAACAAAATAAATGCAAACGCCAAAAGAAGCAAATGACAACAATTCCCCACATTATTCTAGCCTGGATTAATTTCAAATGATACAGAAGGGCCCCTCCTTAGAACATGAGTTCAGTGTCTATGTTTGCATCGAAGGGACATCGTTCTCCAACGACAGAAAGGCCATGGCAGGCTCTGAGCCTGGTGTAGTCTATGGAATGCACATGGCTGCAGAAGGGACCCCACAGACCTAGCTTTCTATAGCACACACTAGCTCAGCCTTGCCCCAGTGTGATGGTTTAATTGTCAAGCTGATACAACCTAGAAGAACCTGAGAAGTTTCAATGAGGGACTGTCTGCCTGGGGCTGGCCTATGGGCACACCTGTGGAAGATTGTCCTAATCACCTTAATTGATGTGGAAAGCTCATCAATTAAGCCCTTTGTAGGTGGCATCATTCCCTAGTCAGGCAGTCCTGAACTCTGTTAGGAGTTGAGAAACAGCTGTTCCCAAGGAGCATGCCTGCATTCTTTCTGTATGCTCTTGACTAGATACAATGTAATCAATTGTTTCAAGTTCCTGCTGTCTCAACTTCCCAGCCATAGATAATGGGCTGTAACCTAGAACTAGATACAATGTAATCAACTGTTTCAAGTTCCTGCTGCCTTGACTTCCTAGAGATAATGAATCGGCTGTAACCTATTAGATACAATGTAATCAACTATTTCATGTTCCTGCTGCCTCTACTTCCTAGCGATAATGGGCTGTAACCTATAAGGAGAAGCAAACCCCTGACTTCTGCAGGTTGTGTTTTGTCCGATTATTTTGCCGTAACAACAGCAATAGAACAAGAACTCTGGGTTCCAGACCCATCTACAGCTCAAATCCTAGAAACCCCAATACTCACACACCCCTGTGGCCACTGCCTGCTCCAGGATGTCCTTAGATTGACATTCAACAAAGTTCCTTCTCAGCCAGGTCCTCTGACCAGGTGCTACCTATGGGTCACCACCTGTGGGTATGGCTGAGGATTTCTCTTCCTCTCCAGGTACAGGCACTAGAACTCAAGCTGTTTCTACCCCAGCAACTTCCTGACCCCCTCCCTGATCCAGCAACTCCCTCCCCATTCCCTGGCAGGGTTTTGGAAGGACAGAAGTATACAAGGGAATGTGTGTGTGTGTGAGTGTGTGTGTGTGTGTGTGCTCCTTCACAGGCACCATCCTGGCCTGAGAGAGACTTCTGGGATCTCATGCTGCTCCTGACTCATCATCGGTGGCTCTTATTCCCCCTTCCCCTCCCCCCTCCCTTCTCCACACCACCTCACTCTCTCAAAGGCATCTTTGTGAAGCTTCCCATGGCCTGTTTAGAGGCCTGGGTCAAACCTTATGAGTCAGAGGTCCTGACTTCCCTTAGCTCACATTTAAGACAAGAGACAGAAAGGGACACTCATCACAAACCAGGGACACCATGTGACATCTTCAAAACTGGTGGGGCATGGGAGCAGAGGAGCAAGGCTGGGTCAGGGGGACAAGGCAGGTCTCCTATGGTGACCCTGAAGAGAGGACTGAGAGGAGGGGGCGGAGCAAGGGGCTTGGGAAATACAGGTCCAGGAAGATGTGAAGAGTGAAGCAGGTGGATTAGGGCAGGATTCCACGTTCCCACTTCCGTCTTCCCAGCCTGCTTGTATGCAGCAAAACTTGTGACACAGCACTGGGTCATTTGTTCACAGCCTCTCTCCCAGTGAGATGAATGTGGTTATCCGCAGCCTGGGAAGAACCTGAGACAAAGAGCCTCAACGTGCATGCTCAAATCAATTAACAGGAATGGTACATTGGCAGGGGAAAACCAATGTATGTCCCCTACCATGGAGAGGAGTTGCCACCCCAACGGCCTGTCTTTCTCACCCCATATGCTACGCTGCACTAATCATCCCTCAGGATGAAGTCTGTCTTGGAGCCAGTCTCCACAGACGGTGTCTCCTCGGGGCCCTCAGGCTTAGCCACAGTGGGCGATGAGGAGCCTGTCCATGGACCAAGCAGGATGTTCGGCAAGGTCCTGTCCTCTTTGGCTTCAGGGAGTGGGCAGTCTGATTTTTTTTTCCCTGAGCAGCTTCTGGGAGATGCAGGCACCCTGACAATACACCTGCTTCTCTTTGGCTTGGCCTGGTGGAAGAAACCTCATTTAAACAAGTTCTGTAATGAGAACTGTAAAGCCAGCACTCAGAAACACGCCGATCTGGAGTCTGGGTGGGACTCAGGGAACAAGAGAGCAGAGCTCCTGTGCACACCATCTTATCCCTGTGGTTCTAGTGTGTTCTCTGAGAGATGGCAGAGAAGGGGGTAGGCAGAGTAGAAAGTAAGCTTCATGTGTAACGAAAATCTTGAGTTTGCTCTTTTTTTTTTTGTAATGCTGGGGATGGAGCCCAGGGCCTCACAAGTGCACGGCCACTGAGCTACACCCAGACTAATGTTTCAATATTCTGCTACAAATTCCTCTGGGGTTAACTTCAGCTCTGGAAATGAAATCCCCACGTGTGATGGCCTGGGTATTGAGAGGCATGTCCCCCCATGGGAGAGGGGGACAGCCCGAAGGCTGTCGTATGCATTTCACCCCACACAAGCCTTCCACCCCAGCAGAAGCTAGCATTAGCATGGCTAGGGCAGGTGCCAGAGGATGGACGCTGTGGGCTCAATGGGCAGGGCACCTCTCTGGGAAACCAGCCCCGCTGAGGGTCGCGAGCATGCTCACCCACAGGCTGACGAACAGTCTGTGTATGTCGCAGACTCTTAGTGCAGACAGAGAGGACATGTGCACCAAACAACTGCAGTATTCCCTCCACCCTCCCTTTGACATGTGTCGTGTACAGTGGAACCCTCTGCGGGCCACTTACATTCCAGTCCACGGTGGCAAAGAAAGGGTGACGCTTAATTTCCTCCACGCCATCAATGCCGGCACCTGTCACAACAGAACAGAGAGCATGTGTGAGTGCAAGTCCAAGGCCACGTGTTATCTCCGACTGCTACGTGACAGGCGACAGACAAGAGAGCTCTCAGCAGGGCAAGCTCTGGCTTGGGCTTCCTGAGAGATGAAACTGACACACTTGCCCATGGCCTCCGTGTGACTCCAAGGCTGTGACAGGGCTGAAGCCAGCAGCTGAAGTGGTAAAGGAAAAGTGTAGGCTCCAGATTCCCTGCTCCAGGTATTATGCCAGGATGCCCAGAGAGGAGCAGGTGGCTGTCATAGTCAAAAGCCATGATTGCAACTCTCAGAACGCAGCATCAAGCCAGATTCCAGGACTGGACAAGGCACGACAGAGCCAGAGAGTACTTGTCGAGTGTCTGGCCAGGCTGCGGTGGCGTTCGCCAGGGGAAGGGAGAATCTCAAGAAAGGAAAAGGAGATTGGGAGTACTGAAGCGTGGAGCCTCGCCCGGTGTTCCCTCTACCACGTCCAACCCTTGCATAACTTAGGTCACTGTCACTCGGAGACGCTCTGTGGTTCTCTGTCTGATTCGCTCATCCATCGCGTCTACCTGACCTCTCCCCTTGCTTTGTTTATATCAAGATCCCAAGCTGTGTACTGGACAGGAGCAGGGATTGGCAGGCGACGGGGGATGTCAGAGGCTGTGAGATCATTCTGGATGTTTCTCAACACCAGAGCAGGAATGTGCTCATCAACTGTGAACACCCCACATCCACCCGGTGTGAACCTGAGAGGAGACTGTGGGGGAGGGGCTGTGTGCTTCCCTTCAATTCTTTAAACTTACACTGCTCTAAATAAGGTGAATTAATTAAAAAGCAAAGCTCTGAGGATTGCAGGCAGGCAAGGAGCCCAGGCTCTGCTATCATGAGTCGAGCAGGGCTAGCCTCAGCCAGCTGGAAACTGGATCAAGGGCATCTTGTCAGTTCCTGTCCCAGGGGTGGGAAATGAATGACCGCCACCACCGCCACCAGCAGCAGCAGCGGCGGCAGCAGCAAATACTGTAGCCCAACCTCTGGTGAGACAGAGACAGAGAGCATCCAGAAGCATCCTTGGGACGGGAACCTGCTGGCGTTCATCTGTCTCTGTTATAAGTTATTTCTTCCTGAGTAAACATCTATTCAGCCTATCTGTTTTTCTGATCTTTAGTATTCCACAGTAAACCTTCTCCTGGCTCTAAGGCCTAATGGCTCCTGAGTCCACCGTGACTCGGCTCCTGGAGCTCTAGAGAATGCTTCTGCTCCTGGAGCCCTAGAGGATGCTTCTCCTCCTCCTTCCCAAGGCACCTCTTAGCAGGGCACCATGAAGGGTAGCACAAGGCCATCTTGAGGTGCCATGGTGACCTGTCCTCTGTGAAATCAAGACTGTAGTCTCTGCGGGTAGAGGCGTGAGCATCCATCCCATGGGTCATGCTGACCCTCTGGTCCTCTGCTCTGATCATCTCCCACCTCTCAGGCGGCTTGGAAGGACCAATCACACTAGGTTTTATGCACACACCAGTCTCAGTCTGTGTGGTTCGGTTGCTGCCACAGTCTGATAGGAAAACACACAAAAGGGAACCAGGGAAGGGCTCAGGCTCAGACAGCCTCTGTGTCCCCGACTTGGGACGAACAACTCATGCAACTGTAGGCTATGTAGCCTGCTCCAACCCACACCTGCTGAACTGTAGATGGGAGATCTTCCAGACTCAGCTCTGACATCCCTACCCAGGACTCCGCCTTTATTCCCAGACCTGACGTAGACCTTTCATCTCAGAACTCATGGCCAGGCTTCTTTGTTCTATTTCCCTTGCTGTAACCCAGACCACAGGCCCAGGGCTTTGAGGTCATGGTGCCTAGTGCTCTCTATTTGAGGGGGTGCTCTGATGCTATGGAAGTAACTTCTAGAGCCAATGGCCTGACTTCCAAAGCTGTCCTCCTGGGCCACTGTCCCTGGACCCCTTTGATGACGACTAGAAGTCCAGATGAAGAGACAGTCCAGTCCTGGTGACTGAAGAACCAAGGGCCTCACCTCCTCTGGGTCCTAATGATGAATGCCACCCACCTTGCCAGGGCTCAGGATGTACACCTGTCCAGTGAGGCATGCCTTGCCTGTTTTAAGAACCTTTGCAAACACATGGCTTGCAGTATAGTCTGCAAGAACAAAGGGGGGGGGTCATGCTAGACAAGCTGTTGTTGGGGGTTTATGAATCTCCCATGTTACTCTCTGGCACCAAGTTTGGGGTTTGCAGTCTCGGCAAAAAGAGCTGATGCTTTGATCATTGCTCTAAGACTGCGCATTGGTGGGAGGATTCTTAAGCCATGTCTTTAAAGCTGTGGAGACCTTTAGAGAATAAAACGTGCTCATTAGTCTTCAATGTGAGCCTAGTCCTCTCCTGAAATATTTTAAACCAGATTGCCGCGGATTTGGCTCTGCTTTTATCTAGACTGAACACATTTGACAAATAGCAGGGAGCAGATTTCCGGGCCTGAGGGGGGGGGGTGGGAATGTGTTTGTGCTGATGTGGAAGCCAGAGCTGCTAGGTTACAGGGCCTTCACCAAACACCACTCAAGCCTCCCCTGTTCTAGGAGGATGCCTGCAAATCGTCTCCTGTCACGGGCACTGACAAGACCCTGGAGTCAGGCAAAATGGGTCTGTCTCGTCTGGAGTGTCTCTCTGCAGGATCCATGGTTCTGCAGCGGGTTCCTCAGTGCCAGGCAGACACAGAGGACTGTGACATTCAGACTTCACCTCTACTAACCAACCTTTGCTGCACAAGTTCTAATTACACAGGGACATCTTGAATACCCCAGTGACCCCAGAAAAGGGTCCCTTCTATTGGCCATGCTTACCCAGGTTTCCTTCACACTTGAACACCCTCCGCTAATATACCCACGCCATCCTGGGCTTCCACATTTAGCACTCTGGTCTCCACTCAACAACTGGAGCCTTCCTCAGCCCCATTTCTGTGGGCTGTTCCATCAAACCCAAAAAACATTACCAGTGTCTTTTTGTGTCTTCACCCGAAGACTCTTGTGTGGTGCACAAATGTGACTAGGTGTAACAGCTGCACCACCTCCTCCTGCTCACCTGTCTGTTACAGGGTGGCAGTGTGGCCTTCCTCGGGGTAGGGAAATAGGACTGCATAGTGTCCACTGCCAAGGAGCAGTCCCAAGGCGGCCGAGCTGGGCCCTTGTGCGTCACCGTCTCTAAATACTAACTGATTCCCTTTGTGGTTACTATATGCAGAGCCAGCCTGCTGAGGAGCATGGGGTGGAAAAGGTGCCCTCTCCTCCCACTTGGGAGATGAGCACATCTGACCTGTCTCTTCCCCTTCCTTCTAAAACAGACAGGTCACCCCGGGCTGCCGTGTGCTCCCTTTAAACGGAAGCATCCACCATGAGGCACAGGCACAGCCTCAGTACTCTGACTGAGTGAGGCCCACAGCTGTGGTCCAGCTAGCTGGCGTGTGATGGAAACACACCACGGGACATCTGTCAACCTGTCTGGAGGATGCGATCCCTAAAGTGTGGTTGACTGGCGCTGGCTGTCGCTATTCAGTTGGGATTATGACGGGATGCATTCAGACCAGTGTCCCAGGGTACCATCAATGCCACTGAGACTTTGGCAAGGTTGGAGGTCACTCAATCGATAGCCCCACCCGAATTTGGAAGGTGTCAGAGGACCAGGGCTTTTTTGTTTTATCCCAATACCACACAACACACACACACACACACACACACACACACAAAAGAAACAGGCTGTTGTGGCTACTTTGTGCTCACAAGCCAGCCAAGCGTGAGAACACAGAGGACAGAACACCAGGACTGTGGGAAGGGGGGTGGAGGGTGGAGGCTTCCAATAACCACAGTCCAGCTTCCAGGCAAAACCTGCATCAGCGCAGAGCCCACTGTGGGAGGGGCAAGCAGCAAGCATGTTGTTGCAGCCCAAAGCAATTCTCACGGATGCCTCCCTGTTTATAAAGGCAGCAGAGTTCCCTCAACTACTCTGCAGCGCTACCACGAGCCCTTGACTCAGGGGGTGGCTGCTGGGGCACGGCGCTCAGTCACACGCAGTGACCTGGTCACTAAGTAGCAGCTGTCACGTCTGTCACAGGCTGTCACCATCCCATAACTTCCTCAGGGTCCCACTCAGCATGGCTGTACTTACACTGGACCGTGTAGGCCACCCAGGAAGGTGCACCAAGGCGTGTCCCAGGCTCACAAGAAAGAACAGGCTAGGACCAAACACTTAGAAGATGGACAGGGGCAGGGCAGGGCTCTGGACAGGGTCCCGGGGCTCAGAGGTGAGTGGTAGTGATGTGTGAAGTCACCCTCCTGAATTTGGGGGCATCTGAGTGCTACAAAGGGATTCAGAAGCAGTGTGTTCTGAGGGGTAGGAGTGTCCAGGTACACTCTGACTGGAGACTGAGGTGGAATGCACTCAACTTCAAAGCCTACCTGAGCTACAAAGCGGATTACAGGGGAACCTGGGTTAGTCAATAAAAGGGTTGAAGGTGTGCTTAGCATGAGCAATACCCTGGTACCATCCTCAGCCTCTCAAAAAAAAAAAAAAAAAAAAAAAAAAAAAAATTCAGTTCCGAGAGCAAGTGCCCAGCCAGGCTCATCTGAGCTCACCAAAGAGGGGTTGCAGGTTGGCCTGGGGCACATGCACTTGCCCTGGAGCAAGTGTAGTCAGGGGCAGTTCTGGGAGCAATCACTGAGCTCCCTGTCTGAGAATGGGTGTCCCGTCCTCCACGCCCCAACCTGCAGGGTATGGGGTCTTTCTTGCAGGAGACCTGAGTGAGCATGGGCCACTGTCCCTGACTGCATTCTCCATCAGGAACCAAGGAACACAGCGAGGTAAAGCAGGCAGTTCAGAGAGCTATGGGGACCTCGGGCCATACACACGCAAGCCTCACGTTACCCAGTAAGGATGATAATCCACTCAGCCCTATGAGAAGTCACAGTGATTCTTGGCCGAGGTCTCAGGTCCAATCTGAGACTTGCATACTATTCCAAGAACGACAGCACAGGGACAACCTGGCCCATGGTTTCCTCCAAATCATGAGCCTAACACACACTCACACACAACCCTGTGTGCACGTCCACGCCAAGGGGTCCAGTGTGGCTCCACACGTTCCCCTGCCGGGGCCTGGCTTCTCATGGGACCACAGCTGCTTACCTGGGACTTTCCACACTCCTGTTGGTCATCTTGGTGAGATCCTGCCAGGGAAACTACTCTGGCGAGTTGGTGAACTGTCCCAAGTCCCAGCCCTTGGGCCCAAGTGTAAAGTCCCCACCGAGGCCGCCCAGTGAACACGCAGTGGCCACCGACGCAATCACAGGGTACAGGACAAGCTCCCTCTCCAGGCAGGGTCACCCATGCCCCCCCAGCAGGCATCTCCGTGTCAGGTGTGAAGCTGCCATTTTCACTGGGGATGTCCCCACCCCAGATAGCTTCCCTGTGTCTGCGACGGATGGCCATGGGTGAGGAGGGAAATGGTGCCAAGGGCATCTATCTGGACGGGGACAACTACGGTAGATGCGCCTTTGGTAAGTGCACGAAGTTGACTTTTTCTAAAGCAGCTTCAGGAGGGAAGAGCTGTGTGTGTGGCATGAAGCCTGGATTAGAAATCGAATGTGAACCTGTTTTCCTGTCCACTGTTGGGGTAGCTAGCACAGCAACAGACTGTATTCCTTAGACCCCATTCACCGTATACAAGCCACGTCACAGGCTAGGAGGACGTGCCTAGAAAGCGGGCCAGTGCTTTTAATAGTAGCTTTACTTTTTTTTTTTTTTTTAAATAACTGAAAGGTTATAAATTACTGCAGAAGCTCCCTGAATTGAAGCTGATACATGAAAGAAAGTAAATAAGCTTCCTTGGGACTGAGCCAGGCAGAGAGGAAAATCTAATGTTTCTTCTAGAATGAAATATTTCCTGGCTCACCTCTGAATGACATATTTCTATCTGTGAGGCTGGAGCCAATGGCCTGTGTTCCTTCTGCTCATCTGTGGGGTAAACCATACAGCCAGCAAGCTGCACTCACATCTCTATGTCTCAGTGCATCCCCAAGGGTTTCCAGGCCGAGGGGTAAACACCCTGTATGGTCGGGGAAGGGGGCTGTGCTTGGCTAATGCTAGAGTAAGTATGGGCTTTGTATGTGCTGGGCTTGTCAACTGGAGAGGCCAAAAGCAGAAGTGACCTTTGAACCACACCGTCTGTGGTTTATGGGGTTCGTAAAGTGAGAGACAAAAGACCAGGAAGAGAGAGAGAGAGAGAGAGAGAGAGAGAGAGAGAGAGAGAGAGAGAGAGACTTTGTGTAAAAGCGGAGAATTCAAAACAAAACTAATTATGCTACTTGAGAATCACCCGGCTTTCACAGATCCCGATAAGACCGTGTATCTGTGCAGCTCAGACCACCTGTGAGTGTTCCCCCTGCTCAGCAAGGCGAAACATGCGGTCTGTCAGAGTTGGGGCACAGGAAGGGAGCCTTGCATGCTCCCATGGGGACACAGAACGGTGACCCCTACATTCCTAAGGTGGGGGGCATCTAGAGTGCAGCCTGCAGGAGCGGTTGTCGCAGGAACCCTTCCTTACCCAGCCGGTTACAGGGATTCCGCTTGAACAGGGCCCTCAGCAGGCTCTGCGCCTCCACACTGAGGAACTGTGGCATACCCAGCTTGGCTCTGGAAGACAGAATGGGATGGCAGTGAGAAGCCACCAGGCAAAGATCAGCACAGTCTCCTGTTCTGCAAGGCTACTCTGCCTGCAAGGAACCGACCCCAGACACCCTGAGAGGTAGTGCTGGCACTCGGCCCCGAGGACGCACGTTTTCCCTTAAAACCAAGACACTCGGCTCATGTGGCTTGTACCTAGCTGTTGACCACGTTCAAAATCGGAAGTGTGACACTTTTCACACCTGCTACGTAACAGTCGATTTAAAGCAGCAACGGCGATTCCCTGAGCACCTATACTATCGGCTTTTCAAAACAAAGTTTTCACAACACCAAGTTCTTTTAAGCAAGAGAGGGTGGTGAGTTCCTGCCCAGCATCCTGGAAATGATGGTTCTCACCTTCTCTGGCAAGGGCTGCTGTACAACTATGGAGAATGTCTGAGCAAGGAGCATCCCAAAGAACCACAACAGGAATCTTGACCCCTGGAGTCCCTGGACCTTACTGGAGACCGGCACTGAGCGTGAGCTGACCCTCAGCCCAGACAGGCATGGGGCCATGTGGGTTTGCTGGGGGTGGGCGGGACGGCTCCAGATTTCATCAAGAGCCAATCAAGTTCCCATTAATACCCAGGGGACAGAGGTGTCCCCGGAAGAACACAGGGCGCAGCTATGGGCAGCTGCCCAGTAGTCAGCATGGCTCCCTGGCTGCCCTGGAAGAGCCACAGGGAGATTCTGAAGAATGCAAGTCCTTGCAGTAGGGTTTCCTACATCACCTTTTATCCTGTGTGTACGGGAGGAAGGTACAACGGCGTGGCTTGCAATAACTATGCCTCGTAAGTGTAGTAACATCCTTCTATGCCGGTATTTCTGGAGGGGCCCCAAGGCCAGTGCTGACTTCCCCAGGAGACCCTTACTGATTTGGGCTTCCCATCTCTCCACTTCCTGTCCTTCTCTGATGCTCACCTAGGACTTTACGGCAGGTGACCAAGGGTCAGAGAGCAGTCTGACCACCTCGTCTGTGGTTCTGAGAGCACTAGTTGCTCTCTAGGTAAATGAGTCTGCAGGAGAATAGAGCTGAAGCTGTCTGCACCCAAACGCTGCCAGCCAGCACTGGACAATCTACGTGAGTTTATCTCTAAGCCCGAAAGTTCATCAGAATTCCACAGTGGGTCTCCAGGACAGCCAGGCTTCCCCCCACACACACACCCACACACCCCCCCACACACACCCACACACACAGCCAGCACACACACACACACACACACACACACACACACAGCCAGCACACACTCCATCCATGCTGAGTATGAAAGTGCAGATGGCTCCCTTGAACCCAGCATCCCTCTTGCTCCTCAGCTCTAGACACAGGAGGCTCTGCTCCCCGGGGAGGGGGCAGGGAGTCAATGTACTTTGGGCGCCCACACTCACTTGAGGATGAGAGCCATTGTTTCCTTCCTGTCCTTCCCCTGGAATGGCAGGGACCCGGTGAGCATCTCGAACTGTAGAACGAAACAGAGCCGATGAGTTTGTTCCTTCATCAGTCAGTGGGACAGCAGCCACGGGAGGGGTGTGTGTGGGGGAGACACTGGGGAGCCTGGCCTCCAGGTTCGCACTCCAGCTGGAGAGATGCAGGAAGGGTGAACGCAGTGAATGACTATCACTACATGTGGTTTAGGGGCTCCCTCTCCCTGGTGGCTGTTGTGGAGAGCTGCAGCAGGAGAGGGGTCAGAAGCGGGGGGGGGGGGGGGCAGGGGAAGGAGGAGCAGGGAGTAGGTTGCTCGCGCTGACTCCCGCATGACTCTGTTTTTGTCTGTGATGGGAAGGGTCCTGGGTACAGCCCATTAGTAAAATCTGGTGGGGACAATGTGGCACCACTAACCTCACACAGACTCCCCCACCAGCCAGGAAGGGAGCTGAGATAAGGTGGGGCCTGAGGGCAACCCTTGCTGATTGCAGGGGGTGGGGGTGGAGTTCTTAATCACACTGCAGTGTTGACTCTGTGCTCCAGAGGCTGAGGTCTGGGATCCCACAATCACCACCACCACCACAACCGACCGCTGCCACCTGCACCCCACCCCCAGCACGGCTGCTGTGAGAGAGGCGAAGGCAGCAGCAAACCCGTGCTGTGCACATGAGGTACCAAAGCTCACAGAAATGGTGAGGGCGCCCAAGGTGCGGTGCGTCTTTCGCTGTGATCTACGCCACGAGGCAGCAGCCTGGCTGCAGGAGACTTTATTCCGTCTCATTAAGCCTGTGGGACTTGGTATTTTCACTGCACCTGCCTGTGCCCCTTAACAACTTACAGCTCCGGTCTTTGCTTTGCATTGTGAAAATCCTGGGAGACACAGACCAAAACAATCGGCCTGATGCCATCACCTAAAGGTACCCACTGCACGGACCTCCTACAGCATAAAACTTCATGCTTGCTATAAAACTTCCGTAGCATCATGTTACAGGGGTTGAGCCAACCCTCAACAAAGTATCCACTGCGGGACACTTAAGATGTCACCTGCTAGGATTAAACCAGTGTTTCTCAACCCTTCACAGGGTTTGTATACCAGATATCCTTCGTATCAGATATTTACATTACACTTCATAAAAGTGGCAACATCACAGTTATGAAGTAGCAACAAAACAATTCTAGGGTTGGGGTTCACCAGAGCATGAGGGAATAGCTGTGTCAAAGGTTCATGTGCAGCCGTTGGGAAGGCTGAGAGCCACCGCACTGGGCTGAAATGTATCTAAGGTCCCCTGAATGTCCGCTGTGGCAACACAGTAACTCTTCTCATTGCTGTGGAAAATAATTGAAAAAAAATCAACTCAAAGAAGGCAGAATTCCCAGGCAGCCAGTGCTGGGCGGTAGGCATGAGGCTGGAGCACCGAGCACCTGCTCACACTGTTTGCACAGTCAGGAGGCAGAGAGAGAGAGAGAGAGAGAGAGAGAGAGAGAGAGAGAGAGAGAGAGAGAGAGAGAGAGAGAGAGAGAAAGAGGGCAGTGCTTAGCTGGGTTCTCCCTCTCTCCCTCTCCAGGCCATGGATGGTGCTGTCTGTTTTTGAGAGAGAGAGAGTGTGTGTGTGTGTGTGTGTGTGTGTGTCTTTCCTTCTTAGCTAAGCCTCTCTGGAAATGCCCCACAAACATCCATCCAGAAGTGTGTCTCCTAGGTGTTTCCACAGCCAGCAGAGGTGGCAAGAAAACCTAACCATCACCGACAGGCTACCAGAGTGAAGCCATAAACTTGGAGAGATAAGGAGGCTACAGTTTTTAGTCTCTTTATTATTGTTTGACAGCTTCAAACATTTACATAATGAATTTTAGTCATTTCACCTCCCACATAAATATGTCGCCAGAGTGGGAGTGAGACTCGGTGGAGAGGAAGGTTTCGGTGGGAGAGAGGCATGGCTGTGGATTACTGTCAGCCTTCTTTCTGTAAACCAACTTTTAAAGGGGTTGGACAGGCCCTTGCCAGTTCGGGTAGCTGAAGCTTACCCTGTCACACTGAACTCGCTGCATATCAGGCTGCGGGAAGTGACAAATGTATACGTAAGAAAAGGCAAGAACAGCAGAGCCCGGATGAGAGCTTAAAAATAGACAAACATAATTAAAATGAAAGGCTGGGTGCTCTGGCTCATCTGATAAATAGGATGAGCATTCATAAGCTGATTATAGAAATCACCATCTCAAAATAGGCTGGCTGCCAGCGAGGGGAAATCTTGCTGTTTGGTCTATTCATAGCACTCATGAAGTCCCATTTCCAAGAAAGAGCCTGTGGCTGTGTTGAACGGGAAGGATACTTCCCACCTGTGGCTGTTTAGTCTTCGATGCAGGATTGGAGCCCACCTCTACTGACTGGTATCCCGAGCTATGGGCAGCAACATTTGCTTAGTGATTTCCTTTCAGTGGTGGCTATAACAATCAGAGTTCATGCTCTCTGCTCATTCTCCCCTGCCCCCTCTCCCCCTGCACGCAATCCAACAACTGGACAGGGAGACTGTCCCTGTATGCATGAGAAGAACCTGGACCACAGTGGCTCCTGGTGGGTACGTGTGGCAGCCACTACAGTGTGTACACCCTTGGGAGCAGGAGCTAGCTCTCTGCCTCAGCTCTGCAAACCCTGGGAGAGAGGAAGACCCAGGCAGCGTAAAGATCATGGGGTGTTGTACTTCTTGGGAAACAGACTCAGAGTACAGGGCTGCTGTGCTAGGGACTCTGGGGCAGGTGGCATGGCATCTGAGTTGGGGGGAAGTTTGCAAACATTCCCGGTGACAGAAGAGAGATGTAGTGTGGTGACATTCCAGAATGCCAAGGGAGGGAGCCAAGGACAGGTTCCCACAGGTAGTTCTTGCCCGGGACTATATGGGGAACCTGTCTGGGAGGACTTAATATTGGGGTCCAGCCTGGCCCCCTGTTCTTAGCCTGCCAGAGAGCACAGGAGCCCATGACCTCCTTCACAAGACCAAGGCTACAGACCATTTGCCACAACAGCAACCAGAGACGAGGGGAAGCCTGGACACACAGCGGGGCCAGCCTGCTCCTGAAGGGGCTTGAGTTTCCAGGCTGCAAGGACACACCCCACTTGACCTACGGCCAAGGGGATTTCAGTCTGCAGGAAGGGAAGCGAGAACGACTTCAAGGGAGCAGCATCACCCCCAACAGTGGTTTTTCCTCCCAGCAAGCACCCTGCCAGAACAGTGGTTCTCAGCCTATGGGTCTCTCTAGCATATGTGAAATCAGTATGGGAAGGCACTTTGAGACAATCCGGGGAGCATAGGACTTGGCTGGGGTTCTTCAGAAGAGAGCTGCATTCTAGCGGCTGCCTCAAGAGCCTGAATAACCGTGGTGAACAACATTATCGCCACCCTTGTGATATTCATCCCTCATGCTGCACAACTAGCACACACTGGTGTAAGCCTGTGGCGGTGGCAGACTTACCCACCCCTCAGGGTGTTACTCCCTCTGCAGCCATTTCCTAGCTTCTCCAGGGGGGGGCGCACAGTACCTCCTGGGATCGATCTCATGGAGCAGAATGAATGACGGTCTTTAAAAGTGGTGGGAACGTTGGAGCCTTGAATCTCAGGGTATCACAGCCTCGAGCCCAAGCCTCAGGTGCAAGGGAGAGGGACATGGATGGCCCACCCTGCATTCTCTCACCGCATACTGTGACGTTCCAAGACCAACCAGCTTTAGGGAAAGTACAATTCTGCCCCGGGGTGCTGTGAGCATCTCTTAATGAGAGGTAAACACTCTCCCTAACTGGCTGGCAGGAAGTGCTCCCAGAAGTTAGCAGCTTTACTCGGCTAAACTGTCTCAGCCTTGGAGCTAACCAAGGACCCAAGCATTGGTAACCATGGCTCCTTGAGGCTTCAAGATGTGCCGAGGGGCAGATGTGAGCCAGAGCTGTGAGTCCCACCAGGGTGGAGGATGACAGGTGGCCATGTCAATGAAAGAAATATCTGGATACCCAGGACCAGGCTGTCTGAGCTTTGCTCACTACATCTACTGAGGGTCTCGTCATCTTAGCGTCTTCTGTTGTTAAATGTTCAAACTAAAGGGATGTTGGGAAATGCCCTGATCCTGATGTTAGATTCCAGAGCAACAGAATCTGTCTACAGGGAGATGTGAGGGGTCATGAGCATGGCGTCCTGCTGGGGATGGGAAGAGGAAGGGAAGGAGCGTGCTGGGATTGGGGATTTGTGGAAAATGGGTAGCAGCATTTCTAGACGCAAATAGAAACTGGCTACTAGTTCACACTTCGGTGCATGCCAAATTTTACAGCTAAGCCAAAGGATTTCATCTGAAATGGAGAGATATGTTTCACAGAGAAGCCCCTGCCTGTGTCCACATTCCTGGTAAATCTGTGATGCTGAAGTATGATGAAGAAGGCCGGGTGTCATGTGCACCCCACTCCCATCCCAAGAGACAGTTGCAGGGAAGACCGCTCTCAAATTCACCACTCCTCCCAAGCAGGTAAGAGACGGGGCCGAGGGCTTGGAAGCTGTCCCCCCCCCCAATTCCTTGCCAGCTTCCAGCATCTCTGCTTCGAGCTGGGACGAGGAATTCAGCCGGGGATCAGCCGCTCCTACAGAGAACACCAGGGGACAAACCCTTACCATGAGCACACCAAAAGACCACCAGTCAGCGCTCTGTGTGTGTCCCCGCCGGTTCACCACCTCAGGAGCCATGTACTCGATCGTCCCACAGAAGGAATAGGCTCTCTTGTCATGGTCGATGGCCTCCTTGCTCAAGCCGAAATCTAAACATAAACATAGCACACAGCACCGCCTGAACCCTGAGCCACAGTCCCGCGTCTATGTGGGCAGACACTGAGCTATAGTGCCATGTCTATGCGGGCAGACCCTGGATGCACATCACATACTTCCCAGAGACTATAGGGTCTCAGTACATTGCATTATTCAGGCTTAAGGTGCTCCCACAGCCTGGCAAGTTCCTGAGGCTAACATCTACAAAGGGGGAATATTTTTTATATCCCCATTCCCCTCACCAACCCCACCACAATACACACTATATGCCTTGCACAGTAGCAAGTGCTTTACTTCTTGGTAGTGAGTGTGTACTTCCAGAGAGGCTTTCCTGCGTATCGTCATGAGGTTGAGGGGCACCAAAACTTCAGTCAGGTCAGAGATGAGATAAGGATATAAAGCTGTGTATTTTTTTTTTTTTTAACCAACCTGTGATCTTAATATGTCCCTCTTCATCCAGGAGGATACTAGAAGAAAGGGAAAGAACAGATTTCAGAGAGAGAGGAAAAAAGACACAGAGCTCACCATTCCCTAGCACATAGCTCCATGTAGCTGAAATGCCCTTGCCCAATGCCTGGGCTTCTGACATGGCTGTATCCTGGATAGGTTTTTTTTTCACGATAGCCTTATGTCCGATAGCCTGCACCAGCTCAGGAAGGGACGGAAGTGTGTAGTCATGAGCCTGGGGATGGGGTATGGTCAGGGACCTACAGGGCTGCACATTCCTGAGTCAACAGATTGGAACCCTTGGGCCGCTCCCAAACACAGAAGAGTGGGCTCTTGGACTGTTCTGGCCCACAGAAGCCCACAGCCTCTGCACAGGAAATTTCCTGGCCCTGGGAGGAGGCCCTTCATGCCCAGAGACTGTCTTCTCAGAGTCTCAGACTCTCTCGGGGTTGGCCTCAGCTCTTAGGACCAATCCTGGCCTCTGGTGAGGGCCACACACAGGCAGGGTTCAGCAAAGGGATTCTGGGCTGCCCGAGGCTTCGAATCTGGGGCCAGCCTGGCAGCACCAGAACCCTGGACCCCTGGCTTGTTTTCTAGGGACCCTTCACATCACGAGCAGGGCCTTCACCTTGCTCTTCCTGGGTCGCTGCCCTGCCGGGGTAGAGAGTGTCCCATTCCGTGAGAGAGTGAGGATGGAGGTCACCCGATCCTCTCCCTTCACCCTCGGCTGAGCGGCTCTGACACCCTGAGGCGCACAGCTCCAGCATTACCACCTGTCTTTAGGACTGCCATGAATTCTGCCCAATGGGATCCCAGGAGGTGCCATCCACCCTAAAGAACGGGAAAGTGGCTGGAGAGGAAGGGGAAGGGAAGCCTGCCATAAGCGGAAGTTTCCACTCGAGCTTCACTACATATGGGATGGTTTGCCAGGACCGCGTGGGGCTCCGCGGGCTCCAATAGCATTCTGGCCACGGGAGTGTTGAGGGTGTATGAGGCTTGAACGTGCTAAGGTCACTCAGCTGTGCCCCAGTCACACATAAAGGGTAAATGTTGTTCTCTGTGTATCCAAAACATTAAAGCTATCTGACGCAGGGTTGAAGAATAGCCAGTGTTTTGTGGAAACAATTATAGCATATTAATTAACATGACAAGTTGCAATTAAAGAGGAAAATGTTTCCCCCCTTTGCTTCTCAGCCATACTGAATCTCTGCCCAGAATTAAGCAACTTTCAAGAGCCGGCCCCAAACAGCTGGAATTGGACCGCAAAAATCTTTGTCTTTATCCTGTAATTAAATGTTACCATGTTCAGCTTCCAGAACCTTCTCAGCCCAAACAAGTGAATGGGAGCCAGGGTCTCGATGCCCAGAGTGGCTCCGAGTACACAGAAGTCTTCCGTGGGGGACATAGCAGTAGGGACAGATTTGTACGAGACTCATGAACTCCATGCTAACTATCGGGAGGTAAACGTGTGGATAAGTTTTGCATGAGCCTTGGGAACAAGCCAGGCTCAGCCATCACCTCCTAGGTGGTGATGGGTGGGTGAAGGGGAGTCACGGTATGAAACCTGTTTGAGGTATCATTGTGGCCTCCTGCTCTCGCCCGTGGAGGGGTCAGACAAGGGTCACAAGTCCCCATTCCCTGTGGGCTCCCGAGGACAGCATCACTCCTACTTTGATCCACAGGATCGGCCAGGGTCACTCGATCTGGTGACTGGTTGAGGTTAATCAGAGCAACTCACTGCACAGACAAGGAGGTGCTTCCCAAACCCAGATGACTGACAGCCTCGTCTCCAGGGAGGCAGCTGTCTTTATCTCAGGGTAGGGCAGGTGAAAGCTAAAGGAGAAGCAAGGGACCGGCCATCGTGACCACGTGGCTTAGGGCTGTCCTGGTGGGACACCTCCTTTGGAGACAAGTGTGGATGAGGTCTCAGGGTGTTATGACTCAGCCAGGAACACCGTATGATTGGTCAGAGGAACATAAAGCACCACCCGCGAAGTCCTTTCTTGTCTGCGTGTGAGTTAGTGCTGGGTTTTCGGGTCAGTTCTGCCACTGAGGTCATGCATGTATAGCACATCGGGGCCCGAGCCCCATGACTTTGCAGGGCAGTTCCTGTTTTCATTTAGACTAGATTAACAGACGAATGCAAACATTACAGATTCTCAGCCCCAAATACACACTGACCTGGGGACCCTGTGGCCACCGTCCCTCAGCTGATCCCTTGAGAGAACTACCCTGACCCATCTCCTATTTATCCACCTCAGAAGAGGCCAACGGACCATATTCCTGCAGCTTAGGGCAGTAGCTGCAAGGTATCCATGCCTGAATGACAACAGACAGAAGGAGAGGCTAAGTGATGGGGACCGATGTCTTGTGTGGCATGGTGGCAAATGCTACTGGACAGGGGAGAGGTATGTGCAATCCGTCTCAGGCCCCATCTGCCCGGACATCTTTGTATGTTGAAGAATGGATGTGCCTTGGCCTCCCACAGTGGGCGCTTCTACCATGATCAACAAAGGCCCGCACTGGCTGAGCATCTGCGTAGGATAAGGAGGCAGCATCTGCTTAGCCTTCTTGGGACTCCAGCACGGGACCCACCCACAGGACACTGTGCCCAGCCCACTGCTGAAGTGTACTTGAGAAACAAATGCTAGGTATCGGCCACTGACGTGGGCTGGCAGCAGATGCCCAGTAGGATGTGAATGCCTTTCTTCTTACTTCTCTGGCTTCAGATCCCTGTAGATGATCCCTAGGCCGTGAAGGTGGTCCAGAGCCAGGGCCAACTCAGCCAGGTAGAACTTGACATCCTCCTCGGTGAACATGACCTAGAGCGGGGGGGGGGGGGGGGGGAGGAAAGGACCAGGGTTCAGCTTGTCCCACGAATGCTTGTCTGAAAGCACTCCAGGGCTGTCCCAGAATGCTCTCTCTCCTGCCGTTCCTAATGCAGGAGAGTTCTCGAAGTTGCACTCTGTGCCCTGAGGGAGCCGATTTGCACAGCCTCATGAGCACAACCCCAGCCGGCCTTTAACCTACAAACTGCTCGGGCTGCAGCGTAACCCCGGGTTCCTGTCTTATCAGGAATGCTCTGGTGTGAATCCATAGTGGACATTGCAAATCAAATAACCAAACCACATTGTGGAGGCTGAAGGCTTACAGAAAACGGGTCTCTGATTTTACTTCTCTACCCACCCTCTGCCCTCTTCTGTTTTCTCCTTGGGCTGGTATGCAAACTGGCAGCGCTCTGCAGAGGGACGCATTCCGCCAGGTAGAACGTGTTGGTTGGAGAGGGGCCTGTGATGGTCGGGGTTGGTGCTGCGTTCCAGGCCAGTTAGAGTATCAGGACGCCTTGGAGCCAGTGGCTGTCTGGACACTGGCTCACAGAACTCTGTCCTGTCCTGTTCATGCTTTTATACTCATATCAACAGGAGGGCAAATCCTTACATGTTCTGGCACATGTGCATGTGTTTGCATGCATGTGCTTAGAGGCCAGAGGTTCACCTCAGGTGTCTTCCTTGGTCACTACTCTCCGCCTTATTTATTTATTTTTTTTTTGAGACAGGAAATCTCACCAAACCCGGAGCTCACCAATGCGGCTAGGATGGTTGGTCCTGCAATGTCATGAGTCCATGCCTGGAAGTGCTGTGCGGTTCTGAGCGCACAGGAGTGAGCTGCCGACACAGCCTGTTGGGATGGGTGGTAGGCCCCTAACTCAGCTCCTTATGCTTGCATGCAGTGCTCATTCACTGGGCCATCTCCCAACCACTTTCACATTTACCATGAGACACCCGTGTCGAAGAGACTGTATTATCATTGAAATTTCTCCGAAAGCACACACACACACACACACACACACACACACACACACCACATGAAAACTGAATGTGGCAGAGACCAGAGCTAAAATGACTGAGTTATGGGCCTGTGTGGTGAAGCAAACGGGGCTCTCAGCTCCTAGGAAGGACAGCCGCCTTAGGACCTGCAAAGTGTCAGATGGTACCCATAGGAGCTAGCCCCAGTCTATGGGCTCCACCCCACAAAGCTGGCCCAGTGCTCCTTGAGTCATGAGGGACGCAGTGCCCTCACAGTGCAATTCTGGAGAGTCCTTACTTGTAGGGCCGGTACGCAAAATTAACGCTGCAGCTAGAAGCCAGCGAGGTTCATCCAGTGAGCAAAGACCTGACAAGGTATTCCTAAACCCAAACGCACAGGGGCGCTGCCCAGAGGAGAGGGTCACATGGCGTTAACTGTGCCTTCCAGGAGGGGAAGTGAGATGCCATCAAAAGCAGCCGTCCCCAAATGATACCATGAACTTTGTGTCACCTTTCCATCTGGGGCAGGGGCAGTGGACGGCGGCCAATGCTTTGAGGCGTACTCGCATAGTGCTCAGGAGGAGCCTGTTTGTAAGACCTGGCCAGCATGGGAGGCACACGCTTCTCAGCATGGGAGGCACACGCTCAGAAGGCTCCTTGATTCAGCTGCACAGATCTTACCCTGTAGCTCAGCGCGCGTGCAGTGAAGTTAAACCCTCAGTTTCCTGAATGCTGGGGTCATGGGTGTGTGTGACCACGGCTGGTACACACATTTACCACACATTCAATAAGGCGTCGTACACCACGCTCTTCCCATCACACAGACCAGAAAACACATGCCACACACCCTCTTCTACATCACACACACTAGACGCCCACCTCAATTGTCATACACATGCACGCCCACGTGTCCATCTCCTTGATGATCTTTCTTTCCTGTTTCCCTAGGCACACAGTCACCATCGTCATGGGTCACTCACCTCTTTGGAGAGCCTTGTAAAGAGGTCTCCTCCCCGCAGGAAGTCCAGAATCAGGTAGAGCTTGCCTTCAGTCTGAAAGGCTGTGGGAGGAGATGTAGTTGAGCACTTCACCGGCAAACATTGTTCCCTCTGAGCATCGGATCTCTGTTCTCCCGAAGCCTGGTGTCTCTTAGGTTCAACAAGGCTATTATTACTCTGCCATTCACTCAGCCAGGCACAGCTGACCAATGGGAGGTCAGCCAGCCAGGGACGGAGCCCAGCAGAAGGAGAGGGGGGCTAAGTTCAGCATCTCTCCCTTTTGTTGGAGTCTTGGAACTTGCTTTTTCCTTCTCCTCCATCCTTATCCCTTTTACTCCCGGTGGCTGAAAGGCTCGGGGAGAGGGCAGCCTGGGTTCCACGTTGTACCCACCCACCACTGGGACTACTATATTACTTAGGCCTTGCGCACGGCTGCCCACAGACAGGCCACTCGCTGGAACTTTGGGTGATGGAAGTACATTTTTTGTTTCCTCCCACGGAAGTGTGTTCCTGTACTCAGGGACCATTAGGGAGCGACTACACTTGACTGCTTTCTGTGCGTCAAAGGGGAGATCTTGCTGTATGTGAGGTTGTTGGTCCCTCAGGCCACAGTCTACACAGTGGACCCAGGGGCCCACTGAGCACATGATAGCGACGCTATTACTTTCCAGTATCGGGAAGAGTCTGTCGGCCTCGGTGGCCAGGTCAGTGTCAGAGGATCAGCAATCATGATGACCCGGCCACCATCAGGAAATATCCACCATTAGGTATCAGGTTTTACACTCAGGCCAAAGGGGCCTGCTATTTCCGTGTATTGAAATATATGTATTTTTCCATTTTCTAAAAGTTCCAGGACCATTAGGAATGCCAGCATTTAGAATCACAGCCCCTAACTGGAAGACCCTTAGTTGGGGCTATGTATACGGCTGTGTGAGCCCTGTGTGCCTGTAGGGGCAGCGGGAAACAGAAGGGATGGAGGGCGTCCATTGACAAGTCTGCGTGAGACAGCCTGGCCTCCAGCACACACCCTCCAACTGGATGATCCTAAGAAGATAAGCATGGCCTGAGCAGGGACGGCATGCAAATTTGAGAAGCTTTTTTTTTTTTTTTTTTTTTTTTTAAATAAAAGGCTTAACCAGTTTTTTAAAACACCCTAGACATCAACTCCATCCAGGCTTTGGTCGGACCATAGCCCAGCCCAGGGCAGGATAGGAGGGAGGGGCCGGGCTTTCCTGCCAGTGGGGGAGCCATGGCTGGGTCCCACCCGGCCCCGCAGCCCACCGAGGAGCCAACCTTTGTCCTTTCTGAAGGGCGCGCCACGTGGCTCTAGACAGGCCTGAACTCTGGAAGTCTCCCCATTCCACCCCAGCCTCCGCTCCCTGGTCATAGGGACCGCTGGTCCTTCTCTGCCCTCTGTTCACATGAATTCCTTAACAAGGGAAGCGTTCTGTGGGGTATAGGACTGAGCAGCCATCGTGTACGAATTCTGCCTCCTTCCCCGATGATGACGACGAAGGACACAGGCAGAGAACGGGTGTTTAGAAACGTAGGTCTGTGAAACACTTGCCCTGAGCCTCAAGAGCCCCCAACAACAGCCTCCCCCAGGGGTCACTGCACCACCGCGGCTCACGTCACTCCCCATCATGTCCCACCCCAACCTAGGCTAACCTTGCTGGAGATTAGCGTGGTGATGTCTCCACGCTGGGCAGCCCCACCTCACAGTTTCTGGGACGACGTAGGGCGCCCTGATCTTTCAGGAAAGAGACTCTCACGAGTAAGGGGACTTAAGAGGCCGCCGTCCCCACACGAGACAGGGGTCTGCCACCGTGAGGGTCTCCTTCTTTTGGACCAGTTGTTGCTGTCTCAGTTTCCCCCGTGATCAGAGGCGTCTCCCAGGGCCCCCTCAGAGAAGGTCACTTTGCTCCACTTACCGTAATGCAGTTTGACAATGAAAGGGTGATTGACTTCGGCCAGGATGTCTCTCTCCATCTTGGATCTGACCCTGTCCCGCACTGTACAACAAAAAAGGCAAAAGGCTTTCATTCCAGAGCCTGGGGGGAGGGGGGGAGGGGCCGGGGCTGGGATGCGCGACAGCCTCACAGGCGTGGGAAACCTAGCGCGGTACAAGGGCCACTCTCTCATCCTCACCTAGGTCTAAGGAATCAACGCTACATCTTGACACGCTAGCTTCCTTGTTTCTAGCTCCTTTCCTTCTACCGGAAACATTGAAGAAACACTGTAGACACCCCGACACTTTCCCCGTAGGAGAATCTACTCGTGGGCCTTAGGAATAAGGGTTGCTTCCCACGGACTCTGCTGTCCATCATCCGGTGTCGTCTCTGGCCCCCAGTCCATGCTTATCACCCCCAGCCGTTGCTGTTTACTCCCTCAGTGTTGGGTCTCATCGAGGGCCATTTTCTTACTGTGTTGGTGGAGAAACTGCTGTATCTGTTTTGTATCCAGAAGAGAATGATCTCATGCCTTCCTCCTTCCCTCGACTTTTTAGTTAAGTCCAGGTCAGCTTTCTTGTCTACATCGTGGTCTGTCTGACTGGGGCTCAGCTGGCTCCTCTAACTTGCACTCCTCATGAGTTGAGGTCAGGTGTGGGGTCTATGCAGGACCGCAGCTGGACACTTTGGGTGAGCAGGTGAGGGCTCTGCCTTAACCTTCTGGGGTGAGGAGGAGCCTGTGGGGCTAACCTTCTCCATGTGCCGCTGAATGATTGAGCGGGGGAGCTAGCAAGGGCTCCCTCTCCAGGGATGAGATCTGTCAGCCCTCTTGCAAGGGAGGAGCAACCCAGGAGAGACATTCAGACACGCAGCAACCTGTGCACTTCCTAACTTTCATTCAGTAGTGTTAGCGTTCATTTAGGGTCCTTGCTGGGTCATTCCAGACTACAAAGTGGTACTTTTTCCATTTCTGACACAAGAGGGAATAAGACAATTCTGTCTCTAGCCACCAAGGTGCCTGTGGATCACAGAATCACAGAGGTAGAGAGGTGCATGCGTGTGTGTGCGCGTGTGTGCGGGCGCGTGTGTGTATTACATTTTTTTCAGTGTTCATACTTTCTCACATCCAGCCATCTGGAATACAGACATAATTAGTTTTGAGGCAAAACAAACGAACAAAGTAGAGACTGACGACCACTTGAGTTGTAATAAGAACAATTCGTATTTCCTTTTTTAGAAGAAAGTGGATGCCACCTTCAGGGCGGGAACACTGACCTCCAGGGGAAACGACTACCAGTTAGGTCTGAAAACACGGGTAAGGACACTGTCAAATTAGTCCTGCAGAGAGATGCCAGGGAAGGACAATCCCTTCCAACACTGGAGAAATGCCCGCAGGAACAAGGGTTCTGCGCTGTCTGTGGGACCAGGCGTCACGAGCCATTCTTTCAGACATTAACTACTTCATGCCATTGACGGCAGGAGCACAGCTTGACCAGACCAGCACTCTCCCTAAGCAGATGGCCCTTGCACAACAGACTGAAGTGATGCATCCCCCAGGCCATCTCCAGACCAGTTGATTCCCATGGGAAAAAGGACAGAGAAGCTTCCTGAAGGTATGTGTGCCGGTGACACTCCAATACGCCGCAAGACTGGCTGACACATCAACGGTGCTGGAAGAAGTCACCGCCAGCCCTGTCTTAGCTCAGAGGGCATGGGGCCAGGAGCGGCTCCCCAGGTAATGTGACCAGTGGAGTCAGAGCTGGCTAAGGCTCCAAACTCAGTTTCCTAATCTCATCCATGCACCAAGGAATCTCCACATGAAGAGAGACAGGAGAGAAGTTTCAGATTCTCCCTTGGCTCAGACCTCCCATGAAGCCCCAGGCACCTGCGGCTGGCGATCTAGAAAGCCACCGTCCCTCCCACTGGATACAGGACGCCTGTCACAGCTGGTAATAGTGCTCATGAAGTATATAGATGAGATCAGACCCGTTAGACATTGGGCCTCAGGGGAACATGTTTCTTGGCAGGATATTCACTCGGTCAAACCCCCTCCATCTCTAAGTGGGAAGCCACACTCCAGGGTTCCCTGGATTTAAAGCATATAACATGAAGCTGTTGCCCACAGTCACTTCACGCTGCCCCAAAACTTGCCGAGTTCAAGAGCACAGGGTCCTTTAGGAAGTACCATGCTGTCATGAAGCAGGGAGGATAGGACTGGGGACCGGAATGATGGGACCTTGCCGGGGAGGCGAGCAAGGGCATACACCTGCTGGCTCCTTTCTCCTTCAGCTACTGAGCAGTTGACATCCCTTTAGAAATGGCCTGTCACCTTGTAATGAAGGAGGGGGTTGTGCCTGGCACTTCAAAGTTAAAGTAAAATAGACCCGTGAGAACCGTTATCCTGCTTGTCAAGTCACGAGTTTTCCCACTGAGACGACACAGCCCTCCCTCCCGCAACACACGTGGCCGTCCACGCACTGGGTAGAAACAATCTGAAGTTTCGAAATGATTTCCGAAAGCCACGCCCCCTTTTTATTCCCTTTTCAAAACGACTTTGCTATTCAAATGAATTCCAGGCCCCCCTGGCAACTGTACTCTTCAGAGCTCAGAGCTCGTGACTGGCGAGGGGAGGAGGTACGTGGGTGTTACAGACACACCTTTTTATCTCCACCGCATTTATTCCAATTAACTGGCCTGCAAGTTGGGGGTGTGGTGGGGATGGGAAGGAACTGGTACTTGAGTAACTCGGGATAACTAACGGGATGCAGAGATGTTAGAAGCAAACAAATGTGAACGTTCCTGTGTGTAGACGCTTTTCTCCCAGTTGTGAGGGAGCTGGGCTTGGGGGTGGCGTTAGCCCAGTGTTAGCACACAGGAGGCTCCCACGTGGTGGAAAATCATGTCTTGCGGCTGCCACACTCAAAACACCGCTCTGTGGGGACCCTCCATTTTCTCTTAAGAGAGAGACCTTATTGGACTTCTGCGGGAAATCCATTCCTCAGTGATAGCCCATCAGAGAAAGCCGGAACAGTGTGGAATGTAAGACAATGTCTGGTATTAGCTGACTTCAGAAGGAGCACAAGGAGATGGGGACAATTTCCCATTCCTCAATTTCACAATATGTAAGTAACTGCACATAGTCAGACATACTGTCCTAGAGCATTGGTTTCTAAGAATTATGAGACACCTGTGGTGTCTTACAGCTCATGGGGAGTGGCTATATTAGGAGGCGTGGCTTTGCTGGAGTAGGTGTGGCCTTTCTGAGGGAAGTGTGTCACTGTGGGGCGGGCTTTGAAGTCTCGTATATGCCCAAGACATGTCCAGTGCCAGAGTTCAATTTCTGTTGGCTTCTGATTAAGATGTGTATTTGTGTATATGTCTGTGTATGTGTGAAACTGAGTGTGTGTGTGTGTTTGTGTATGTCTATGTATTGTGTAACTGAGTGTGTGTACATTTAGCACAGACTCAGGGCACCTATTACGATCCTTCAGGAGATGCAGGTCTCACGTCCTATGTATAAAAATGCATTGGGAAGGAACCATTCCTCAAGAGCACTTCATTTTGAATTATAAATTATTTTGAAGGCTGACCATGCAAAGGAGACTGAAGCTCCAGGCTGAGCATCATGGTCGACAATGATGGAGCAGAGGAGCTACTGAGTGCTGAACACAGAGCATAGCCTTCCTGTCTGCATTCGGTAACACAGGCTCCTCCACTCTGACTCTCCTCCATCCCAGAGCTGGGGAGGAGGAGGAGGAGGATGTGTGATGCTCATCACAGTGAATACCACAGATGGTACCAGCTGCTGCCATCCACCTCTTTGGCTTCAATCCAAGAGGGTGTCTCATTGGGATCTGAGGAATTTACCACTGCCTCATTCCATTTTAAAACATTTCTCCACCCCCAAGAAGTCCAGGCCCGTGAAGAATCCAAGCCTGTGTCTCCAACTCCTTTTCTGAAGCCACAAAGGCACCAGCTGCCTCTGTGGGCTAGGGTCCTGTTTGCTTTCTATTGCTGTCGTAAGACCAAGAGGAGCTTGGGAAGGAAAGCAATGACTTGGCTTACACATGGAGATCACAGCCCACCACTGACGGAAGCCCGGACAGGAACTCAAGGCTCACAGCTGTAGACAGGACTGACCTTTACTGGTTTGCTCCTCATGGCTTGCTCAGCCTGCTTTCTTACACAGCCCAAGACCACGTTCCCGGGGGGAGCACCAACCCCAATGGGCTTGACTCTCACACATCAATCACCATCAAGAAAACGCTCCCACAAACTTGTCTACAGACCAATCTTTTTGGGCCATTTTCTCAACGGAGGTTTCCTCTTCACTCATTTGTAACTTGCGCCAAGTTGACAAAAGCAGCTCAGTCAGTCGGTTTTCAGCCTCGAGAAACCAGAATCACTAGATAGATAGGGGCTTTGTGTGAACCTCTTCCTCTCGGCACCCTGTCCCCATGATCACCCACAGGGTGGCATGGGTCAGCGTTGTATTTATACGCCGAGAAATACTGAGTGGACAGACCACGTGACTGTTACGATGGGACAAGATGACAAAATGCCGGAGAAAGCATCTCTGGAAGGAAGGGCTTAGAGTCTTGGGGAAGGGATGGTGACAGGCGCAGGGGGCAATTCACGACTGGGATGCGTGGTGAATGCTGGTTGCGGCTCTCCTTTCCCGTTTTTAGTGAGCCCGTGGGCCAGTGTCACCCACAATCAGAGTTATCCTCACCTCAGTTCAACCTCTCTGTAAACGTCTTTGTAGACACACCGCGGTGTGTGTCTCCTGGCGATGCTGGTGATGACAGACTAAACGCCACACTGGTGTTTGTGCCCAAGGCTGTGGTGGGCTGTGCTACGGATAGCACCGCTACCTTTGTGAAACAGCTGGGTCACAGAATGTGTTTCGCTTCTGAAGAACTGCAGAAGTAGTTTGTGTTGGGGACTTCCAAATGATCTGGATGTAATGTCTGCTTCTCCGAGACAACCCTCAAGTCTACCTTATTAAATGTTTCCTACATACTTCCTCAGCCAGGAAGAATAATTCTTTGACACTTCTGCGAAGAATTTCGGACAAATTCTTCACAAAAATTGACAACCAGCTATCACGACGTAATACCACCCATAAGATTAGGTTAGGTCTAAGAAACATGCCTTCATTTGTGCATCTGAATGATCTGTGAAAAGGCCATATGCTATGCATCTATGAGCTACTTAACAGTGTTTACACTAGGCATATTCGGATGACATATCTCTGCCCAGACTGGCAGAAGTAGCCGATATTTGCATTTTCTAACTACTGATTAACGTAATTTATCTCTTTTAAGAAAAGAAGACTGCCCATTGTGAAGTTAGGCCTTGGGTCTGACACACCTGCTGAACACTAGAGTCATCTACCTCCCTTGAAGGGATTTTTTTTCCTGCTTGTGTAGTAAGATGGTTACAGTCTGCAGACACTACACACACACATCTATTGCCCTCTGGGATCAGTTCTATGCTGCTTGATGTCATATTCTTTATCTCCCCAGCTAGATAGGAAGTGAGCTGAAGGTTCAGAATGACACATTCTTTGGAGTCCTCTGCTGCTGAGGACAGTACATTATAAGACCTAAAAATCTAAGTGCCCCCTTGACATCCACTGGGCCTCACAGCATCCCCAACGGGCTAAGCATGGCCTCCTACGCTCCTGCCCCAGTCAAGGCTCTACCACAACAAGGCTGGTCAGTACACATCACTAACGAGCCACCGTCATATTATTTGTCCGTGCTGCCATGAACCTCGTGTACAGGCCGGTAACAAGCCACTGTCACATCATTTGTTCACACTGGTGTGACTCCTATGTGCGGGTCAGTAACAAGCCACTGCCGTATTGCTTATCCATGCTGGGATGAATCCTGTGCTGGTCATGAGCTTGGATCCTCCTCAGTGTGATCGGTACAAAGCTGGTCAGAGTTGAGTCCCGAGTCTGGGCTTGGGACGGGCCCTTGGGTTTAATGTTTCCCCTCACTTGGGGAATGCGCATACCAGAGGCTGTCTATCCCCAGCCCCTGGGGGGGGGCAACCAGGGAGCATAGCACATGTGTGAATCAAGCTTCCTGACAAGCTGAGCGACCCAGTGTGGCGTGTGGTGCTGGATCTACTGTGGAGCCGGAACAAATGGCTTCCTTCTCCCTGCTTTTTTCCCTCATGGGTTCTCTGCGGCACAACACATGCAGAATGCAACTTGTGCAACAACCTCCCTCTATAGACGGAACAGACTTTGCAGGGGTAGTTACGACACCAGAGAAATGTAGGCAGCTTATTAACCAGACCGGTGAGTGCCCGGTACCCTCCTCTGGGGTTCCTGAAAACACAAAGACTAAGGAAAGCCCATATTCCTGCACATTGCCGAGTGAAGGCCGCAGTGGTGTGTCTCAGAAGTAACCGGCCCCTCCCAGGACTCTTACCTTTCAAGGTGGCTTTCTTCAGGACCTTCATGGCGTAGAGCTGACCAGCATCCGATCCTGAGACCTTCCTCACCAAGAATACCTGAGGAGCACCAGGAAATACATTGGCTATCTGTGACTGTTAGCTTGGTCAACTGGACGCAGCCTAGGCTCACCCAGGAGGAGACCTGTTGGAGGACTGTTGACATTGGTTGACCTGCGCAGCTGTCTGTGGTAACTAAGGTAACTGATGTGGGAGATGCAGCCCCACGATGGGCGGTGCAGACCTAGGAAGGAGGTATTGCCCTGTATTGTATGAGAGCGAAGAAATTGAGTGAGAATATTCATGGGTCCACTTCCCTCTGCTGCTGGTTGTGGTGTGGTATTAACGAGCCTTCTCAAGCTCCTGCAACTGCCCTGTACTGTGGAATCGTGGGCTAAAAGAAACCCCTTCTCCTCCAAGATGCTTGTGTCAGGGTATGTTACCACGGCAGCGGGGATGACCCGGGACTCTGTTCTAAATGATCTGACAAGGGGGCACGAGGGAGCTCCAATCACGGACGCACTTAGGCTTCCAAGGGACGCTTCATCTGCCTGCTGCAGCTCTGTGGTGACCATCGTCCTGCTTCTGGTTTGGGTAAACACTAACTTTTACTGGGTGGCAGAAGGGAGACACATACAGAACGGACGGGACCAGATGTGCAAGACACGTTGGCGACTCTTATTTGAACTCTTCTTACCCAGATCTGCCTTATTATCACACCATGACCATGAACATCATGACCAAAGGAAGTTGTGGAGGAAAAGGGTTCATTTGGCTTTATACACCCATATCTGTTCATCATCAAAGGAAGTCGGGGCAGGAACTCAAGCAGGGCAGGAACCTGGAGGCAGGAGCTGATGCAGAGGCCATGGAGGGGAGCTGCTTACTGGCTTGCCCCTCCCCCCACGGCTGGGTCAACATGCTTTCTTATAGAATCCAGGACCACCTGCCCAGGGGTGGCCCCACACACCATGGGCTGGGCTCTCCCTCACTGATCACTAATTAAGAAAATGCCTTACAGTTGGCTCTCATGGATGCATTTTCTCCTTTGAGGTTCTCTCTTTTCAGATCATTCTAGCTTGTGTCAAGCTGACATAAAACTATCCAGGCAAGATTCTAGCTGTGTGCAGCAGAAGCTCACTGACAGGTTTTTTTCTTGTTTTGGTTTTTATTTTCTGACTCTTAAGCACACTCGTGTGGGTATTCAACATTCTCTGAAACGTTTTTTTGACGCATGGAATAAATCAACTAAACAAAAATACCTGAGACAGGCTGAGCTTAAGGCAAGATCATTGATTTTTTTTTTTTAAGTTGATGAAGAAAAATACTGAGTATAAAAAGGAATGTTCCCCACAAATGAAGAAAGCTCTGGGTTTCCTAAAAGAATTTTCCCTCTGGTGTAAGCCCTGCTCGGTACCAGAGCCCACAATGACACCCTCGGCCCTGTGGTGAGCAGATGCAGCTGCCCTTAGATGGATGGATCTTTGCATTTCTCCTTCCCAAAGGCTCCTCTCATGCTGAGCCCTCCTGTGTGCACTTTGGGACAGTCTAGCTCCACACAAATCACTCTAGGTAGCCCACACTGGCCAGGGACTCAACACCCTCATTAGCCTGTGCCTGTAATATCAATCAGAGCAGGACTGGAGGTTTCCCTAGCCACGGGGCAGGTCATTCCTCCTGGTTCTCTGTCATAGACAAAGAGAGTGTTCAGGAACCTGCAGAGCATGGGCAGAGCATGGGTCTCTCGGTGCGAGAGACAACCTATGGACCAATGGGTATCAGCTGTCTTTCTAGGAGATCCCAACATCTATTGCAGCAGCGCAACAGAGGAAGATGCACTGCCCAGGACCCACACTCACAGATGGGAGTGTCAGCTAGTCTACATCGTGCGTCCTGCAGGGACAGGGGACCACCATCACAGAGAATGCACTGGTGTTAAGATGTGTGGGGCCTCCACCATAAGTATGTACACATCGCCACGGCTGGGACCCCAGAGAGAGCTTGGGGCTCCGTTTCATACGACGTGCCAAGTGCCACACTGGATTTGAGGCACCAAACCCTCCCACAGGATCCCGGGATCCATATGGTCCTGCAAGAGCTCTGCACATCCCTAGAAGTTACTTCAGATGAAAGGACTCAGGCTCTAGGCAATGTCGTTTGGGTCGAAGCCACCTCCTTGGTGTAGGGAACAAGCCGGGGCGAGGCGGGGGGGTTGAGCTCATTTCTACCAATACGCAGGTAGGAATGAGACAGCAGCAGTTGGAATAAGGGACATTTTTAATACACAAAGCATTAGTGAGTAGCTGCTATGCCTCTGTCTCTGAACTGACTCCGTGTAGTCTCCATCTGATACAATTCCATTCCCTCTTCCAGCCTGTTCCTGACATACAATGCATCTGTCTGCGTTTTGTCAAAAAGTGTAGAATTGATAACTCCTGGCAGGAGGCAGAGGCAGGAGTCCAGGTGGTGATGATGGGCCCTAGGTGCTACCCACCCATCCTGTCACTTGGGACTAAGAGCTGGAAAGCAAGTTGGAGCTTGCAGCAAGGTCTGTGCTGTTGGCCACAGGACCAGCACATTCTCCCGCCAGCCATCAGGTTAGAGTCAGTGTAAGCTGAGCACTGAGGAGCCAGCACAGAACATTGCGTCTGCACCCCTGTCTGGAGCCTTCATGCCAGTGTGTGCAGCCAGGGATGCACGTAGGCGTGGCCAGTCTTCATAGGGAGAAGACTATCTTGCCGGGGTCACTGCTCAAGCTTGTCCGGCTTTTAGACTTTGGAAAGTCGGTGACAGTAAATACAAAATGGCCTCAGTCAGAGTCATGGCTGAGGGAGCAGCCCCTACCCTGCCAACGTCTAAACAGAAAACCACATCCACACGTGATCCACACAGGCACTGGGCAGTGCCCCCTACGAATTAGCTGAGGTACAGTCAACTTCTACACAGACACGTGCATATAAAGTGCTTAAAATGTGGGTAGTCTTACTCTGCAGCCCAGGCTGGCCTCAAAGTCACAGTGATCCTCCTGTGCCAGCCTTTGAGCACTGGAAACTGTTTTCCTTATTGCATTTCATATTTTAAAAATGAAACCACGGGTGAGTGGCTAGTGCTTTCGATCTTATATTTTTTTTTTTAAGCAGGATCTCTGCCTTTTTAAAGGCACAGGAAACAGCTCTGCTCTGTCTGTCATTGTTAATATGCTCCTACTAAGTGCCAAGAACTGGAGCCGTGTGCGACAATTCTCCCGAAGGTGATCAGAGGACTGGACAGAGGTCACTTCCAGAACCATAAGAGAAGGGACCATATAATTTAGAAATCTATTTGGATGCAAGGGGAAAAGCCCCAAAGAAACTTGGACAATGCGGCTGCTGTATCTCTGGTGCTTTGTACAGTGGTGTGCGCTAACCTGTTCCGTTTTCAGAACAATGTCTGTGCAGATAGACAGATGTGTGGCCTGGGCCGTCACTCTCCACTGCCCGGAGCTCTCAGGATCTCTGTAATGAGTGACACCATTTGCCTGATTCCCTCGACAACATGTTCTCAGTCTGGCAAGGGGAACTCCAACTGCAGGATGCCCCGGGGCCCAAGTCAAAGAAACATAGTCACTTTCTGGGGACTCTCAGGCAACAATCTCCCCCGAAGGCATTTAGAGCCTCGTGCATGTAATGCTACTGGTCAGCTAAAAGAAAGCAAGGACATTTTAAAATGTCATTTGCTCCCTTCTCATAATGTGGAACTCACAAATCACCACACCCCAGGGCACTTGAGAGAGAGAGAGAGAGAGAGAAAGCCTTAGTATTTCTCAATAGAAGGGAGCTGTGGAGGCTGGGGAGGGTGAGGGATGATCCCCACCAATCACAGGTCCCGACACTTCTGGCATCTCCACCCTGGAGCAGCCAGTCTGTACTACTCCACTGAGCACCAGAACACAATACTAGGCTTCATCATCGCCTAAGACCAGACTCCCCAGGACAATCGCAGTGCTGGTGAGGCCATGTCAAAAGCCTTTCCATACTGTGCCCTGCATGGGAGTGCAGGGTTACTGGGCACAGAGCACCTGGTAGGACCAAACTCCGGGCTAAGGGTATTCCGGTTCTGGGGTACTCTGGCATGGGGACCTCAGGAAGCTGAGCCTCGACGGAGTCCCAGCCAGAGCCTGCCTATACTGGGGCTCAGTGTGGCTGCTGTTGTAGGAACCATCTGATGTGGGGCACAAGCAGAGAGACACACAGCTGGAGTTCAATGGCAAAGATGGTGTCCTGTTCATTTTGTGTCGGGGTATCCATTTAGTCACTCAAGTAAGGAAGGTAGAACAGTGGGCTCAGTGATGGGAAATGGACAACCATGGTGGGGTCTGGACTTCTAAGCATGGCCTTCCCTGGGGTCCACGGCATCCAGACCAACAGAGCAGCCCAGAACCTTCCACAGAAAGGCCGTATGCATACTCTACACTTATAGGTGCACAGCATATTTGCCTGCAGAGCAGGAATGAGATAGTGTGGGGTGGTCAGTCAGACAGCTTTGACTTCCCCAGCCAGACTTCTTTCTCTCATGCTGCCCTCATGAAAAAGAACGATCCCTTAGCTGCTGTCTAGAGCCCAGGAAGAGTCCTGTCTCCCTGTCCCCAGGAACTCAGGTGCCTGTCAGCATCTGCCTATCCAGCTGCTAGTCCAGTGGACATGGAGAGAGGGCCACCCTGGGAAGAGCCAGCATTCCTGTCTCCTGAAACAGATCAGCTGCCGCTGCTATGACCCATAGGGGCAGATGTCAGGAGACATGCAGGTCCAGCCCACAAACCCTACCCAGGTGACAGCCAGCTTGAACTCGTGGTTAATCTAACCCATGGCACAATTATATAAAATACGTTAGTTACTTCATTTTACAGATGGAGAAATTGATCATTGACCCAGGGATGGCGAAGAGACAGACTACAAATCCTTGCCTTCCTGATCCTTGAGTGACAGCTGTGTAGGCCAATACAGAGAAGGGCCCACCCCTTTTCTCCTTTTGAAAAGTTTTCTTATTTTCTCATCTCTCCTTTCCTTTTCAAGAAGATCTGTTGAGGCTGCAACTTCCGAGACTCGCTGACTTAAATCAGTGATCAGGCCCTCTCAGCCAGTACTGCCTCTGCGTTCCCCTTGCCCCCTCCCCCGCCACGGTGCTGATCCATTTAACTCACCTTCCCATAGGACCCTTGTCCTAAAACCTTCAGCAGCTCGAACTGGGAAGGGTCTGCCTTCTCAAAGCCTTCCTTCACATGGTTGCTAATGTCGATCTCCTTCACGATGCCTTCTTCCTGCAAGGCAGCAGCGACAGTGGTTAGGACATAGCCAGGCCCCCTTCAGTCCATGTCCACCCTCCCCTAGAGCTGGAAACATCGACTGCTCTGGGGACTCTCGGCCATGGGGGGTTGAGCTGATGTGCCTGGGACTGGCCTGTCAGCCTTTAACTGCTTTCTGCCCTCCAGAGCTTTCAGTCACCATTACCACAGGGGAATCTCCACGTTTTCTCCATGAAACCCACTCTGCAGTACAGAAATGTTGCCCTGAGGGTGTCTGCCTCCACCACGCTACTCGGGAGACTGGGGGGAAGTTCCCACGTGGAAATGCAGACAACTTATTAATCTTCCTAACTCACTCACTTTGCAATACTTTTGACACAGGTAATTCAAGGACGGCTACAGGAGAGCCTTTCGTCTCTATAAAACCTGCACAGCAATCACGACGGCGTCCACCTTCCTATCCTGAAGCCGTGAGGGGTTCCTATACACAAGGGATGCAGGTTCTGCCCAATCAGCAGCCATCCGAGTGAGGGATCTAGACAGCATATTTTCACTCCTAGACAGAAAGGACAGGCCGGGAAGGCATCCCCAAACAGCCAGCAGGAAGTATCCTTCCCGGGAAGGCATCCCCAAACAGCCAGCAGGAAGCAGCCTTCCCACATCTTCCCAGGAAAAGAATGTCTGCTCCCAAACCAGTGCCACGAAACGCACCAAATGCTCAGTTTCTGGCACAGCACCAGAAAACAGAACTCTCAAACATAACTAGATGTTGAGTGGAAGAAGCCAGCTTCAAGGTCAGATGCCGGGCTCCACTTACAAAGCCACCACCCCATGACTTAGGAGAGAGGAACCAGAGGCAAAGGTCCCCTCTGCATGCCATAGATGACAAGGAGTCCTAAGAAATCCCACTGAGACGCAGCAGGGTTCCAGAAGACACAGCACCCAAGCCAAGCCTGGCACTGATGTTACAAAAAAAAAAAAAAAAAAAAAAAACCCAAGTCATTTAAATGAGAGAGCCAACCTACTAGCACTTGACTTTTGGAAGCCTCCTAATTGTTCCTCTTTTCCAGGATGCAGCCTGGGGACAGTAGCGCAAATCCCCGCTGAGACCTGTGTAGGACTTTCTGGATCTCACCCAAGACTCAGCCCCACTGCAAGGCACACAGAGCTGGGCGAAGTCTGCTCTTGGATAACTGGGATCCACATGTCAGAATGTCTCCTTAGAAGACCATCCAAAGCAGTGGCTGGGGGGGGGGGCGGGCGGGTGAGGATTACAGGACATGCTAACAGGTCTCTAGGAGTTGCCACCATTGAAGCAACTGATACAGCTGCTTCCAGTCCGGCTTCAACTTTTAACATGACGGTTGCCTAGAAAATCACTGACATGCTTTTCCCATCATTTTCCACTACATTTCATACATCTGAACCTCCTGTCCAACATGCTCCGGGCGGCCGGTGCCCAGGTTCACAAAGCTGGCTGCAGCAGCGGCCTGCCTTCTCTGTCCACAGCACTGGGCGTGAAGGGTCCGCAGTGAGCTTGGAGCTATTGGCTGCACGAAACCTCACGGTTGTGTTCCCTCTCTGCGGCTCTCTCCACCTGCGGGTGTGTGTCCTGGGTGGACACATGCCCAAGCACGTTTTCTCCCTCCCAGATATAAAGTGTGTTTTGCATAAGAGGGAAGGGAGTCCCTGTCTCAGGGATCTTCTGCCTCTCAGTAGAAAAGCTGGAGCAAATGCTCCCTTCCTCCTCACCCAGACCTGCCCTTCCTCCAGTGTGGTGGTTTGAAGAAGCGTGGCCCCACACAGCCTCACATATTTGAATGCTTGCTTATCAGAGAGTAGCAGCGACACCACTCGATGGGATTGAGGAGGTGTGGCCTTGTTGGAGGAAGTGTGTCACAAGGGGTGTGGCCTTTGGGGCTTCAAATGCTCAAGCCAGGCCCAGTGTCTCTCTCCTCCTCCCTGCCGCCTGCAGGTGGAGATGTAGAGCTCCTTCTCCAGCACCACGCTGCCTTGCTTCCCGCCAGGATGACAATGGACCGATCCTCTGAAACCGTAAGCCAGCTCCAATGACAAGGTTTCCGTGGTAAGAATGGCCTTGGTCCTGGTGTCTCTTCAAAGCAACAGATCGGTGACCAAGACATCTTTACAACCGATGCCTTGCTTCTATTGAGAGCGTATTTTAAGAAGATGGTGGGAAAGGGTAAAGTACCTCCCCATCCCAGACAAAGCTGACCTGCCTGCCATGCTCCCTCACTAAGCAGGTGAGCCTGTCTTCTCAGGAATGCCCCCCCCCCCGAAACTGCATCAGCCCTTGCTACTTTCGAGTTCCTCCACGGTGATGGGGGGACGTCCTTCTGTACATACGTTTCTCTTACTGGCTGAAGAATAAAACACTGATTGGCCAATAGTTGAGGCTATGAGACGAGGAGAATTCTGGGGAGAGGGGCAGAGAGAGAGGCTGCCCAAGAGTAACATGCTGGATTACAGGTAAGCCACAGGCTCATGGCAATACACAGATTGGTAGAAATGGGTTAACAATTAAGACAGAGCTAGCCAATAAGAAGCCCTAGCCATCGGCCAACAGTTTTATAATTACTATAGCGTCCGTGTGTCACCTAACCTCACTGTCCTCCCAAAGGGGAGGGGGGGAGCCCTTGGGAAAGCGGCTTCCGGAAGTGAAGCCCTTGATCTTTTCTCTCAAGTCACCAACAAAGTAGTGGCCACAGTCCACAAACACCAGAGCTCAGAAGGAGAGCCTGACTTCAGTCCATTAGTGTGTGCAGAGAGGGGCAGCCTGCACGTGCCTGTGCACATACTTGTATGTTGGCACCAGGCAAGAACACTCTGAGAGAAGATGGCTGGTGGGAGATGTCATTCTGTAAATATGTTTCTCATACTGGTTAATGACTAAAGCACGGTTGGCCAATAGGAAAGAAGATAGGAGGGACTAGGAGACAAGGAGGAAAGAGGAAGTAGGAAGGAGGAGTCAAGATGGAGAGTCTGGAGGGAGCAGGACGCCAGCTGGCTCTCCAGTAAGGTGAAACCACGTGCAAATACATAGATCAACAGAAATGGGTTAATACTTAAGACAGAGTTAGCTGATAAGAAATTCTGGCCAACAGCATTGTATCAAATACAGAGTCTCTGCGCGTTATTTGGGGCTGGCGCGGCGGCAGGACAAGACCAGCGGCAGGCAGAAAAACCTTATTCCTTACAGATGGCCGTCTGCTTCATGGGGCCAAGCAGTAGATCTGCTCAAGAAGATGGCATGCTGAGAAGGGCTGAGAGGCTGGTAAGCAAGCAGTTCGTGGGACAGCGACTGTGTGGGCAATGACCGTGTGTGTGTGCACACGCAAATACGTGCACACTGCACAAACGATGAAGCCAGCAAATCCCTCCTCATTTGAGGTGAGCTGGGTGGCCCATCACACCAGTGCCAGAAGGAGGCAAAGGCAATGGCCAGGATTAATTACTAGCCACCGCTGAATCACTTCCCAGAGCCTGACCCTGGGCTGGGGTCGGGTACCCCGAGGTAACGTGTTCTCAGCCTCTAGCTCAGCCTGGTAGAGACATACGATGTATGCTGTGTCAACACTTCACCCATGGTGGATGGAAAAGGGACTCACACCCCAGGCTCTGGGATTTCTTTGTGAATCGGACCTCAGAGTTGAGCCTGAAAGGTTATGGAAGGCTTCCGGGAGCAAAGGCATCTAGAACATGCCTTGAGAACCAAAGCAAAGGCATGCGGATCCCCCGAAGGGAGAAGAGCCAGGCACGATCCCCAGGGTCGTATGCTGAGGCTGAGCAGGTCTCTGCCCATCCTGATGTTAGATCCTCCTCTTGTGTAACAGTGAGTACAGTTTTACTGCCTCTCCGAGACCCTTTGGCAAGCCTCTGACATTAAAGAGAAAAGGAATCTTCTACAGAAATCTTAACAAAAGCACCTTTTATGGCCACCCTGTGAAATTGTTTTAAACAATGGGGATGTGCTATAGGGAAGCCAACTATTCCGATGCTAAAAATTAATGTGAGCAGCAAATCTATGCTAACAGTTGTTAGCCTGGAGATCCTGAAAGATTAATGACTCCCCAGGCTGGGCCCAGCAGCATGCCCGAGAGGAGAGTGAAGCTAGAACTGAGCTCACTCAGCCACATGTCAGGGTGGCAGCTCACCCACCGCCTCTGTGCCCAACCCCCACCCCTGACAACTGGATTCGCAGCTGGAAAGAGGTGCAGTTAACTGAAAGGCAGTCGAAAGGAAGGGAGATTTCTTTCTTCTGCACTGTGCTTTTTGCCGTTTTCCCAGCTTCCCCCAGGAGCCAGGCGACACACATCTCCTTCTGGCTCATCCACTCCTAGGGAGACGAAGGCCTGAGCTATGACACAGTGGTCCCCTCCAGCTGCTCGTCAGTGTGCTCATCTGAGAGGGTGCAGAGTCACTCTCCCCAGACACGCAACCACCCATGCCGGAGAGCAGCGACTGTCCCGCAGGAATCACCCTGGCATCCCTCCCAGCATCCCAAGTCACCACCCTCGGGGAGGCGGAGCCGAGATCTCACAGGTAAAAGCCTATCCCAGGAAGTTTGTGCTCTAGCAGCTTCCATGACCTGTGTGTGGGACTGGGTGGCTGTCAAGCGCTATCGCCTTGCCTGCAAGAACGATGCTCAACAACAGGATTCTTCTGCAGCTATGTTTATTGCGCGGCTCATTACAGCAAGTTGAGGGAAGACCCCGAGGAGGAAAAAGGGCTCTGCTTATATAGAGGAGCTGTGTCCGTTACTGACAGTTGCAGCGGAGCTGTGTCCATTACTGACAGGTGCAGCCCGCAACGCTCGTAACGGTCACCCCATGACATGGATCGCACATCCGCGCCTTGCTGGCTTATGGACAGGAAACCGGCACCATCTTCGGGAATGGCACCGGTGGCTCTCTACAGGTGGCTTAGCGGAGCCAGGCAGGAGCCCGCCATGGCTGGGCCTTAAAGCGCACGGGGCTTGGAGAAGGATGCAGCAC